CTGGCTCGATCACAATAAAACATTTGTTTGACAAAAATAATAATTTAAAATAAATAATTATATAATAAATCATTTTGTCTAAAAACACACGAAGGCCTTCGAATTTACTTTGTGATCAACCATAATCAATACAAAATAAATACAAGTAGTAATGATGCAAATATTGAAAATATAACCCTCTAACTATTAATCACATAACTGCCCAAAGTGTCGGTCTAAGGATCCCGAAGAATCCGCCGAACAAATCAAAGTAATTATTAATTAATAAAAGAGTCTATAATTTTCTCATGCTTAAGAGTCAAATGCCATGACGATGATAGGGAGCAATTGCATACGACGACTCTCGCAATATATCTCAACCTAACGCGGATCCAGTTCAAATCTTAATTAATTATGAGTCCATCCATAATTACCGACTATGAACCATTTATGATTACTATTTATATATCATGCATTGATTGCCATCACATACATATATATAAATATCTCTTGTAATCAAATGGATACTATCAATTCTATAATGAATCGAAATATAATACATTGAATTCACCAATTGTATAAAACATAAATATTTCAGAAACGTCAGGAATATATGTCACTTTAATCCAAACAAAAATTTACTATGTCATGGCATATAAATCCACATATACGTATAGACACACGGCACACATGTATTGATCAGCACTGCCAATCACCCCACCACCTCCACCACGGGTTAGTTATATCTACCTTGCATGCTTCCTAATTTCAATTTTACCCCTCTTCTTTTTACAATATACTGATCAATGTTTCTAGACATTTCATTCAACCGTACCCAATTGCTGATCAATTCATGAACCATACAATTAATTAGTCACATATATATTCATATCTACATATCTGTGCGTGTATGAATATATATATATATATATATATATATGTATGTATGTATGTACTATATTGGTGGTCACTGGCGGCGGGGGTGGGGTGATTGGTGGTGCCGATATATGCATATGTGTATGCCGTGTGGCTATATATATATGTGTGTGTGTGTGTTTGTATACACAGAGCTTCACCAACAGCAGTCACACATTCGCCGTCTTTGCCACCGAAATCTTCTCTAGTCGGTGTCATCGGAATTGCTGGTATTTGTCGCTGAAAATATTTCTGTTTGCTCGCCGGTCGCCGTTCAGCCGTCATCCTTGCTCGCTGGTTCATTCTTGCCGACCTCCTTGCTCATCGGCGTCGTCCATTGCAGCATCCTCAAAGCCGCACCATCGTCAATCCTCATCGCCGATTCAGTCATGGCCATTCAGTCCTCCTTTCTTGCCAATTCTCTCATTGCCGTCGCCGGACTTTCACAACCATCCTTGCTCGCCGTTTTTATGATCACTGCCGTCGTTGGATTGTCTTTGTAGCTGGAACCTGCATTGTCTTTGTAGCTGGAACCTGCAACATCGTGGCCGAAATATTCTATCACTAATCCGGCAACCAACAGCACTTCGACGGAGTCACGACATCAACTAGGAGGGCAATTTTGGGATTTTTATAAATTTTTTGGTCAAGATGGCTGATTAGGGTTTTTTTTGCTCCTTTTGTATATAGTGGGGTATTATATTGATGGTCTTCTATAAATATTGATAGCAGCATATTATATATTACAACATTTCAGTTATATGTTATAACATTTTAGTTGTTTTCGGATAGAAATGACAAACATGTTCTTCACTAATAGAATGTCTTTTGGGGTCCTCTTACTTCCAAAGTTAATATTCATATTGGTTATTGTTTTTATTTGAAAGTTCATGTTGGTCATTGTGAATTGGTTGAAAGCTTAATTCCATCTTTATGGGAAATTGTGGGTCGCACCATATGTGCTAGTGATAAAAAGGAAAGTGCATGGATAGGCTGGCTTTAAATTGGTATCCTAATCCACAGTAGGCAAGGTTATTACGATAATTAGAAACTAGGCAGATCAGAATTTTTAATTTTGGAATTCACTGGATTCGAATCTAGCTCCTCCCATCCTTCCCCTTTATTCATGTTGCTCTTCTAATATTCTTGTTAACATGCATATTGAATTAAAGTGTGAGCCTAGATGAAAGGTGATATTTTTTTATTGTCTATAAATATTGATAGTAGCATATTACAATATTTCATTTATTTGCTGATGGAAATAATGCACATCTTCTTCAGTTATAGAGGAATGTCTTTCTTGGTTTTCATAAATTCCAAAAGTTTAATATTCTTGTTACATAGAGGTGGCTATTGCTATTCTGTTGGAAGCTGCCATGTCTATATGGAAAATGGTGGGGCACCATGTATATGCTAGTGATCATAGAAAGGAAAATACACGGATAGACTGGTTTAACCTGGTAGCTTAATCCATGGTAGCTAAGGTTATGAACGTAAGAAAATAAGCTGATGAGAATTTTAATTTTAATGTTCATTAGATTCATACCTCCCCCATCCTTCAACAAGGTGGATGACTCTGGCAAGGTCCACAAGCTCAGAAAGAATGCGGTTCTGGAACGTTCATGGCCAACCATTTTGATTGCTACTATTGTGGCAAGTGGGGATTGACCTGTGTTTATCAGTATTAGTGTCTATTGAACCTGATACATTAATTTTGTTGATAATATTATCTTACAATAACCAACTTACATGAAGCTTAGTTGGCATCTTCATCATCAGTGACCACCTGAGCATCACCATTAGGATGTTTGGTTGTAGTGTTTAGTTGAGGTTTGAGATTCGATGGGTACCTTTTGAACGAGAACCACGTACTGCGAATAGAAAACAGAGGTTGTGGAGTTTTGGTAGGTGTGACAATTGCAAATTTACATAGATGGTCGAATACAAAAACACAGTGCAAATTTACATAGATGGTCGAATACAAAGACACAGAATGAAATAAAGTATATATATTGTGATCTTGTAATGAACGTACCTATCTAGATTATTTATGTGGACAATATATATTTACTGTCATTCTGATTTCTTTGTGACAGTTGTGTCGCTGTTAATGTTCCTGTAATGATTAGAACATTTTTGTGGAAATTGTGTAAATAAGATGTTATGCATTATTCATAATTTAAGCTTTTAGTAAATTATGTTGTAATGCTTTAATTTCGTTTACATTTCTGTAACAAATTTTCTTTTTCCTGCTGCATTAGGTTTTTCATCTTTTCAAAGATACATAGTTGATGTGGAGGGAATTCCCAGTTGGGACGCCCTTCCATCTGAATGATATACTGAGGGTGTTTAATTGTATCATGAACCATATCTGAAAAAAACACATGGCAGCAAGGCACATATCAATACAGGAGTAAGAAGACCGACAACGAAGGAAAACAACTATTCCTAGCTGGAGGAGGAAACATATATAATAAGGGGCTCATGATGGAACCTTGAAGTTCAAGGATTCTTATGAGATTTCAGAGTTAAGAAGTGCATATATGTGCAGCTGAAGAAATATAAATTGCATATGCGGCAAATTTTGAAGACATCAATAATCTGACCGTAATTGGAGATTGTGATGATGCAGTTAGAAAGGCGCTGTGAGGGCTGGATGGAGTACACAGTTTTTTGGTTAGTAGTAACTCACTGAGTTTCCTTTAATATTTTGTTGTTAAAAGATTTTATGGTTAGCAGTAAAAAAGTTTCATTATTTGCAGTCAAATGTTTCGTGACCTCAAAAGGATAATAGTATTTCTTTAAGATTCAATACTGTTGTATGGCAAAAAATCCAGGCAAGGTGATAGAGAGTGCTGACCAAATTGATCAAGTCAATGGCCTTTTATGGGCATCCAAGATATGTAATGCAAAATACCATTAAAATTGAGAAGCAAGAGAGGATTAAATCATAAGTTTTGAGTGATCAGAAATTGTTTATTGATGTGAAAATTCAGTTACCATTTTGGTTGGTTTTGGAAGAACATGAGAGGCAGAGAGATGTTGAAACTGCGTAGTTAGCCTTGCTAGGGTACATCCACTCATCCATCAACAACAAACAGCCTGTCAATGAATGAAACCCGACTTTGTAATTTATATTTTTGTGTTCTCATATATATTTTTTGGTCAAACATGACCACTGTCATTTTTTGAAGGGTGAGGGAAATTTGCATAGATTACGCAAAAAATTGAAAGTTATATATGTACATATTAATAAAATAAAATTTTAATTTTTTTTATTATTATTACTATTTTTTTTGTCCACATACTTGGAGAGCCTTGAACTTTTTACTTTTTACTTAAAAAAAATGATGTGATAATACTAAAAGGGTATTTGCTTTTACACACTCGTGCTCAGCGCTTACCATTCTTAGTATTTATTTTATTTTATTTGTACACATGTTTATGATTTGATCAGATGAAAGCTGCAAATTCTTAAACGGAGCACCAAATTAATTAGTCTAATTGGCTACTTCTAAGGTTAATTTTCTGATTTTTATTGCTTGATCGAATATACCTTTCATATATAATTCGATCTTGCAAGCACTTCACTTTTGTCTTAATCTAGAATTTGTCACTACAGTACGTGTTGGACTTTTTAAATGCCTTTATTTTTGTGTATTAGAGATAATATAAGATAATCTCATTTTGTAATCTATACACACACACATATATATATATATATATATATATGTAGATATTAATTTATGCATGTAAAAATGTATGTATTTAGGGACAGTAGTACAATACAAACCATGTATTTATCCAAGCTTGTACGCCTTATTTACCCCTAGAGCTTGCAACCGCTCATTCAAGTGTTTTGTTTTTTTATTTTTTGACTGTTACTTCAAGCTTTCATGAGACCTCATCCCTTTTACATTTTTAATTGCTTTAGCATTGTCTGTACGACTTTCTGAGAAGCTACGAATTCAACAAACAAATTACAAGCTACTACTTCATATTAAAATAATAAAGATTATGCACGACTCATCTACATGTGTGTGTGTGTGTGTGTGTATATATAGCAGGAGCCTCACTATATATATATATATATATATATATATATATACACTCCCATTTTTTGACTAATTAGACCATCCCTTCGTGTTCCAAATTAAGGGAGAGAGAAATCTAGAGGGGGAGGAGGGAGGTTTATAGTGAAAATTATCAACAAAGTAGAAATGGAGAATCAACTAGATTTCATAGCCAAATTTGCCAACTCTATGGCCACCACAACAAACGACAAGTACACAATCTTCGCCGGTGTCTTCTTCGTCATCTTCATCGTTCATGTTTTTTACAAGTGGTTTCGCGGTGACCACCACCTCGCAGCATTCACCTTCAACCCTAATCTTAGCAACAATGATAATTTGTACTGTGCTGTGTGCCTTCATGATGTCACCGGCGGCGAGAAGTACCGGAGGCTGCCGGAATGCAAACACTGCTTCCATGTTGACTGCATCGACGCATGGTTTGAGTCCCATTCAACGTGCCCTCTATGTAGAAGCCATGTCTCTCATACTTTTCATCAGCATCAACACGAGCAAAGTTTTCTCACTCATTTTCTTTCATTTTCTCAGAAAATACTTTGGAACGTGTGTAATCCTCTTAACTATGAGCTTACTCTGAATTTTTGTGAGAATTTAAGATACATTTCTTAGCTATAAATATTAATGTTCATTTCTTTGTAATTATGTATTGTATGATCATTAAATGAATATTCATTCAATTTGAAGATCATCATGATTCATGATCGAGTAGCTTGGTGGTTAAGTTAGGTGGAAGATCATGCTATGAAGTCTCGCAATAACTTTGACCCCTTATCATCTATTAAATTTATTATATTTTTGCCAATACTATATATATATATATATATATATATATGGAGGATAATTTCACTTGCCACCCTGAGGTTAGGTGTAATTACAGATGGTATCCCTTATGTTTAAAAAATTATACCATTCTCCCTCAAGGTTTGCTCTATCATAACACTTAGTCTCTTCCGGTGAAAGTCAACGACAGTCAATGATGATTTTTGATGACATCAGCTATTTTTAATCATGTAATACCACATTTGCCCTTACTTTATTTGCAAAGATATTTTAACCCTTACTTTTGTATTAAAATAACTTATATACCCAGAAAAAAAAATAATAATAAACAAAACAAATACTGTGTAGTATCAATATCTGTATATATATATATATATATATATATATATATATATATATATATATATATTTCCTCATCACTGCCGAGATCGCCACCGCCTACCCTAGCAACGGCGGCTTCATCCCCTGGGCCCACCGCTCCTTCTACCTTTCGTCGGCTCCCTCATGGCTACTTAGAATTCTTCTTCGCCGTCCGGCATGCCTCACCGCCTTCCCCATCCTCAGCATCGACTACTTGGGAAATCTTCCCCGTCTTCAATGCCTAACTATAAACCCAATTATTCTCGGTTTAACCTCAGTTCATGCGTGCTTCAGTTCCGGCGCTGGTTTCCTTCATCAAATCGGTGAGTTTCAGAACGACGAATAAACCGGAAAAACAAAGAATCCTAACCCTAAATCATTTGCGATGAATCAAATTCTCCAAACACCAATTCCACAATTATAGCTGCTATATCTTTTTGCAGTTGTTGTGCTCTTCTTAACTCATCTTCATCACCTCTGAAGCCCCTTCAGATGACGATTTCTTCTCCTTCGACTCTTTCCCCTCTTCCTCCTCCTCCAACGTTCATGCCGACAAGCCTTCGTCACCTTCGCCGCCACCTGCTCTTGATCACCCTCAGATCCCTATATTATAGTCTTCAGACGGCAATCTAACCCTAGATGGGGTATCGCAGCCTTTGATTGGTCCTCCAAGAATCTACCTTCGCGATTTGCCTTCGGTGTGCCTTACCCGGACTTTAATACATGTATATACTGATCTTATATATATACAAACACATGTAAATACTCATATTGTATCTACTCCTAGTCACTCACCCCATCAAGTTGACTCGCAGATGAAGACTGAGCTCACTGAACAACTCGTACATCTGACCTAGATCAGTCGCGTTACCGTGCGAGTACAACAGCGTCAACAACGCCGCCGGATTCTTCATGTGATGACCCTGTGGGCGAGTGCAAGAGACACTCTCAGGCTACCACACTGGCGAGAGCTACAGGTGCACAGTCCCACATCGCCTGGGTAGAGGAAAGGTGAAGTGCTTATATATAAGTGCGTCACCTCCAATTGGTATGAGGCCTTTTGGGGTGAAACTCAAGAACAAAATCGTGAGGGCTCAGGCCCAAAGCGGACAATATCATACCATGTGGTGGAGCGGGTTGTTACAAATAGTATCAGAGCCTGACCCAGCCGGAAGTGTGCCGACGAGGACGTCGGGCCTCCAAAGGGGGTGGATTGTGATGACCCTGTGGGCGGGTGTGCCGTGGGCGGGTGCAAGAGACACTGTCAGGCTACCACACTGGTGAGAGCTACAGGTGCACAGTCCCACATCGCCTGGGTAGAGGAAAGGTGAAGTGCTTATATGTAAGTGTGTCACCTCCAATTGGTATGAGGCCTTTTGGGGTGAAACCCAAGAACAAAACCGTGCGGGCTCAGGCCCAAAGCGGACAATATCATACCATGTGGTGGAGCGGGTCGTTACACTTCATGTAGACTGCCACGATCTCGTTCCCTCTCTTGGTCGCCAGCTTCAAATTAAATGTCCACGTTTTCCCTCGCTGGCACGTCGGAGATCTTCGTTTTCCCGATGGATTCATAGGAAGTTTGCGTTTGCTGAAATGGTATATTTGTTGAATTGAAAAATCTCGATCAATTACATTAGAAGATTAAATTAAAACATTAGTGAACTTTATTTGGTTCTGATTAAGTTTTTTAATTTGTTGTCCAACTGTTTTGTTTCTTTGCTTATGTTGATTTTTTTTTTTTTTTTAAATTATGTTTCAGGCTTTTAATTCTCCACTCAATATAATTACTGAAAAACTTATCTTTATATTTCTGGTTAAAATTAACAATTATTAGAAAATGTTTATAGAATATTAATAAAATATTATTTATATGATATATATATATTTTTTCCCTAATTGGTACTCACACACATGTTTTTTCTGAGACTTGAACCCCTGACCTTCCTTTGGGGAGTAAGAGACCGATACCGCTAGGTCATTGGCCAGGTGGTATTTATGTAATATATATTAATAAAATATTAGAGGGTGTTTTAGTCATTTAACATGGTCAATGGCCGGAATAAAATGCCGATCATTTTGGAGGGAGGTTAGTGTAATTTTTGAAACATAAAGGGTATTGCCTGTAATTACGCCTAACCCCAGGGGAGATAAGTGAAATTATCCCTATATATATTAATGTAATACATGGTTAATATTTTGGATACTTCTATAATTGCAGTCCTAACGATTCCTCCAAGTCAATCCATGCACGGCACGCCAGTTTTGAAATTAAATATTGGGATTCAATTGCAATCAAGCGGTTGGTGAACTACTTTGCAATTGGTACATTTTATAAAATTATTACAGTTTTAATTTAAATTTGGGTTTTATTACAAGAAGTTTGGTTTTACAAATTAATTATTTCTTGTGAAATATTTTAACTAGTCGTCAAAATCTGAAATCGAATCGCACTTATATAATATATGCCTCTACAAAATTTGCAATCAATTGATATAAAATCAAATCGAAGTTGCAATAATCCAGATAAGAATTAATTGAGTAGGTGTTGGTTCGTGTATAAAAGGAAAAATAATATATAAGCTAAGTTGATTTGGGTGACTCTCTACAAGTTAAATTAACTTGTGAATGAGTCGATACAATATTACTTATGTAACACTGTTTATATAAACATTAATTTCAAATAATCGGTGAATCAGTATAAGAGACCTACATATATATATTAGAGTAATCGACATATATATGCTTAGAAATTCTAATTATTGATGAATCATTTTTTAAGGGCAACCATGAAGTGTTGGTTGGTAAACTACCTAGCATAAAAGCAATCAAAGTAGTTGAGAAGAATGTAGAAAAACTTATATATGTTGCTGGCATTTTTGGCATATATAGTATTGAATATATATATATATATATATATATATATATATATATATATATTCCCATAAGATAAGAAAACATTGCTACCCCCCACCCAGTTCATCCATGTTTGGTGCTCAAGGAGAAAGTGACCCTTAACTAAATGGCCGTCAAAAAAGCTCCACTTTGCCACATCGACCACTTAATTATTGGAAGACATTTAAATCCATCAAATCTTCAAATATGTCCTCTCTATTTGGTGGGACTTTAAAATACATCAAAAGGAGATTATTTCAAGAGCAATTATTGATTATAGTGTGGGTAGATCGATTCATCACTTCGTATATTTTTCAAGGGTAATGTAGTCAATTATAGAGTTTTTCTTATTCTAATGCGTACCAACAAGTATAATTCTCTTTGTACCTAGAGTGCTAGAAGGGGCAGAGCCAGAATCTAAAAGTAGGGAGTGGAAAAAAAAAAAAAAAAAAATTCAAACAAAGAATATGATAATGATAACAAAAACAATATTGATGAACATTTAAATAATGTTAAATTGAGGCAGCATATGAAAAATCCCTAATTGTAACTAATTTCAGTTAATGACTCAAGTTTGATGTAAAACACTAATGAGTAATATCAATACTTGATCCGATCCGAGTCTACACTGATGAATTTGAATTGGGTACAATAGACATGTATCAATAAATCAAATGTCTGCTAAAAGTAAACTCAGACACCATATTCAAATTCACCAGCACAATGGCTATCTCAAGAGGTCATTAAACAAAACTGGAAGCTTCAAATCAATTAACCAGATCAAAAGCAAGAGCGGCATTATCAAGTTTTGAACCAATAAGCAAACGAATCAAAACGTAATAAGATCTAACAGTTAATCTAAATCCATAAGAATCAAAAGCAAAATGAAAGAAACTCAAAGCAGTTTTTGGGTTCACTGATAAGTGAATGTCAAAGAGAAAGCTATCGAATTGGGAAGGAGACAAATGAGTTACAATGTCTTTACATTTAGAGGAATCTAAAAATAAGTTCCTAGAGTATGTCTTTGTTTCAACTTAAATGAATGGACGCAATTCGTCCATGTGTTGATCTGTAATGATTGGTCGCCTAATGGGTTTGGCCTTGATGGGGCTCAGTTTTTTGGCCTTGACTCTATTTATCATTTATGTTTTATTATGGATTGGGCAGATTGGGCTGAGCTATGACTGATTGGGCTGGGCAATGGCGTATAAGAAATAGTAGAACAAATTTTTTATTTATTTATTTTGGGACCTGGGCTATAGCCCAGGCTAGCCCACAGATGGTTCCACCCGAGTGCTAGCACGTACAACATTTGCTGCATTATGAAACAACAAAAATAATATTGAGAATTAATGTTGTACCGTTGTGTTAAGAACGCAATATTTTCAATATAATATTATTACTTAGCTACGTTATTAATGTTATGATATTGCATTTATTATGTTATTTATATAATAAATGTTATTTGCGTTACATTTTTAATACTATACACAGTATGTTACATTCTCAAGATAAGATGTTACGAGTGCAATAAAATGATTTCGTGTTCAGTATATTTCGTATTGTGCTGTTTTCTAATAAAATGTTATTTCATACATAAAATAGTGTTTCGATAAGTAGATGGATCTGCATGTCTTTGCTTTATGAAATTTACACTATGGTTCGTGAAGCAACTTGAATATGACGTTGAGCCCCGTCTAAATTTGTCAATTTGACTTTAAAGGCACTAGTATAAGTTGGACTTTGAGTTTTGATGCTCAAAATATTGACCATCGAGTTGGATTAAAATACATTGAGTTGAATTTTTTATTTTTTCCCCCTTACCTTCTTAAATCACTCGTCACAATTTTATTGACATATTGTAATGGGGCGTGACATATACTCAGATATCACAACATCTGTAAACGGCTCAAACTATTAATTAATCTCTTAAAAAAAAAAAAAAAAAAAAACCTTAATATATATATATATATATACACATATACTCAGATATTACAACATCTGTAAACGGCTCAAACTATTAATTAATCTCTTAAAAAAAAAAAAAAAAAAAAACCTTAATATATATAGTTGATGGCAATTGGACAAAATGGTCAATTTACATGGCGTGTATTTTTACCTATTAATTTATTTTACTGACATGATGGTATTACTGTCATTTTAAGTCTCAATGGGGGTATTTGCACCAAATCGATGGTATAAGGAGTTTTAAATTACATTGAGACTTTTCTGCACTATATGAATAGTACAAGAAAGTTTTCTACACTTTACCCGACAGAATATCATTATTGTTGTTGGTATTATTGCCATTGTGAACTCATAAGACTTGCAAATGGAAACTAAGATTTTATTTTATAAACACTGAAAATGGGGATAAAATGATCACTTTTGTTATTTCTCTGGATTATTTGTGTGGGTTACTACATATTTGTTAGTAGTACAGGGATGAAATTGTTACTACATATATGATCAAATTGAATAGTATAGGGATGTTTAACGATTTTAGGGATGTTTAATGATTTTAATCCTAGGATATCTTGGTTATTAAGGGGTTAAAAGGACATTTTGGTCGTATAAATTTTAAAAACAATCATATGTGATGCATTTTTTAAAACTAATAGAATTTTTAAATTATTTTTTTTTTAGTATAGGAGGTTATATGATTGTTTTCAAATAACTTTTTTAGCGTAGGAGGTTAATAATTTAGTTTTTAGTGAGATTTTCAGTAGAAAATTTAGTTGACTGATTCAATTTTTTATGAAAAATTATATTTTAGTGATCAAAATTAAAAATAATTACTTTAAAGTCACAAAAAATGAATAATCATCTATTCTGAAAGAATATTGCTATTAACCATTCGAGACTAAATTCCATAAATGCCCTTTTATTGATTAACATTCCCTTAATTAATCTTGGCTCAATCTCTTTTTTATTTGTAGTTATTTAACTAAAATTTAATTACGGTTCAAGCTTATGACAGAAATATAATTGGGCATAAACTTTCCCATTGACAGGCCCAATTACGAAAGGATCTACCTTTGGTTGTAACATGGAAGGTCCAGGCATAACAGAGTTTGCGACTGTGTCATATACATGGACACTATTGCAAGGATGATCTATTCGTTTGGAACCATCAAACATTTCACCTCCAACCATGTATATTTTGGATCCATCTGAGAAAAACCCCATACCATCTGATAAGCGAATATGAAAAAAAATTAATTTCCTAATTTGAATAGAAGGAAAATTACAATTTACTAAGAATAGAAGGAGTAGTTGCAATTTAAGAAGCATGAGTAAATTGCAACTGGGAAATTATATCTGACCTCTTGCCTTTTCATGAAATATGAAGATACCCGGCTAGTCTTCACTAATTACACTCTTTCCCATATTGTCAAAGGAGAGCGTTACAATTTAACTTCATGTACCGCGCCCATACTTCGCCTAGGGGACAAAAGTACGTTTTGAACACTTTTGGAAATCAGAAAATGTGATTTTGTAATTATTTCTTAAAAAAAATAAGATTTAATATTATTTAAAATATATTATAAATTAATTAAAAACGTAATATAAGATTTAAAAAAACAAAATTAACAAAGGTATATCTCTAAATTTCAATTGATTTCATAATTATATGAATAATAAACAAATATTATTATTTATATCTATATATTTATATTTAACACATCCATTTTGTATCTGTATCTTAGTTTTTTTAAATTTATTCTGTGTAATACATTCGAGTTCGTTTGGGATTGTTGTTAGAAGATTAAAAGTATTTTTAATATTAGAACTGTTATAAAACTGTTGTAAGTAAAACATGCTTATATGTTTTGTGACACATTATATAAAACATTTTTTATACTTGAAGCACTTTTAAATTTGTTTGGTAATAATGTTACTTAAAACACCTTTATTACTAATTTTACTATATTACCCTTACACTAAACATGTGTTAATTCCCTAATATTAAATATTATAAAATTTCATTTAGTTATTTCTTAAATATCACATATTTTGTTTACGATATAGAATTTGTATTAAATATTAAAATATAAATGAGTTAAACATATTTTAATGATGATTAATTTGTATTTAATTTGGAAGGTGGTTGTAGAGTCCCAGAATAATTAAAATCTTAGTTTGTTACAAAGTCCCCGATATTGTTTGATATTTGTTTGTAGCATGGCAAAAAATTATATTTATATAAAAAATAAAGAGATTAAATTGTCTAAAAAAATTTAGTTACCTAAAAACATAACCTTTACCTGTAACACAATTTTAAAAATTACAGATTCATAATTTCACTTAAATCACCGCAATTTTTTTGAAATGAAAGTGCTTTTCCCAATGCTATCCTTTGACAAGACAGGAAAGAGTGTAATTAGTGAAGACTAGCGGGGTATCTTCATATTTCATGAAAAGGCAAGAGGTCAGATATAATTTCCCAGTTGTAAAGATTTTCTCTTGCATTCCCTCCAAATCGACGTTTCCAAGCAGAGTATAAAAGCCCCCTTCCCACTCTCAAAACCATTTCCATCGCTTTGTTCCCGCCCTTTAACCCTAGCCAATCCAGATCCTCCAAAAGAACAACCGGCAATGAAGGTAATCGTTTGTACCGTTCTTTTAGTTCTTTGATTGTTCAATTTGTTCAAGCAAAATTTATTGAATTCGGATTTAATTTCCCAACTAGGGTTTTTGTGAAATGAAGCCTGTAATCGCTAGTAATTTCTCATCTGCCTCTCTTTGATCTGTATGTGTGGTGTTTAGGTAATAATATTTTGCTTAGAAAAGCTAGTAATTTTATTTATTCTTTGTTTTGTTCTCTAGTCTTGACTTTCTTGTCAATTTGGTTTCTTATGCTGTTGTTCAGTGGCTATAGCCTTGCTAAATTAGAGAAATAGCTACATTTAATGTACCCTTTTAGAAACTCAAAACTAATGGAGAAATTATTTTGTGAATTTCCAAAGGAATGAAAGTCGTGTTTGGTATCATTTTTTTGATGCTGTTTTTCATTTTTGACTATTTTCAAGTAAATCCTACAATAAATAGATTTGAGTGTGGTTTTCCCGAAGCTATTTATTTTTATTTTTATTTAAAAAAAAAAAAAAATTATGACGAGGAGCACTCAATGAGCTCTCACCCTCGTCACCATTCGTTCGGGTGATTGATTATGTTAGCCACTCAATCCAATGGTGATAAGGGTGTGAGTTCACCAAGGGCACTCTCATCGCGACATTACTCTTTCAGAAGTTACTCTTAAGTAGTCCATTTTACAGAGACATTAGTAGTTTTTTACATGTTCATTGCCATAACTTGTTTAAGGTAATAAATAATAATAATACAACCATAAAAATGGCACATTCTTGAAGCTTTTTGTTTTTTAGTATTAAAAAAGTTTTTAATTTTTTTTTAAAACATGTTAACAAACAAGCCAATAAGATATGCGAAATATTTGTTTCATCAGTTCTAGCAGATGACACTCAGTAGTGGAAAACAGTCTCAGTTGGTAGTCGTTCAATTATGTAATTAAGTTTTATTAACAATTTGAATTGTGCTTGTTAAGAATCTTGAAACTTTAAAGGGTGGTTCTCTTCTTCATAATTATAACACAAATGCCTTTACACTCTTTGTATACTTAAACTTGCTTTTATCAAGAAAAGGAAATATTAGTTGCCTGCCAATCAATCAGAGTTCAAAAGTTTGATTTTGAATGAGTTCCTTTCAAAAAAATTAATTTAAAAAAAAAAGGGTGAATGAAAGAGTTCTATTTCAAATGGAACAAAAGAAGTAAAAGGCAGATACTATAACTAGCAGAAATAAATTTAAGTCAAGTTTTGACAGAATTTTACCTGAATATATGATTTTTTTTTTTGCTTTTTATATAATATGATAATAATGCAATCTTCTTTAGGTCAAGGTTTGGGTCTAAACTCCCAAACTCTAGGTCAAGGTTTCAAGACCGGTAGAGAGAAAGAAAGGAAATAATACAATCTTCTTTAGGGTTAGACCTTAAGCTCACCAAAGAGAACACTTAAAATAGCTCTTTCAAGTTTCTACACGACTAGTCTATACATATGGCGAACTGTTGGTTTTAGTTAATGAATTTGTAAACTATTGACCATTTGAAGATTTTAATTGAAATAATTAGCAGAGCGTGTGTTATAAAATGGTGGATATGAATGGTGCTATTTTAAAATTTTTTTGTTAACTATATTAGGTGTAAAATCTAATGATTATAAATTTTTGACGGGTGTTAAAACACTTTGAATAAAACACTTGGAAGACCCTTCATTATTTTTCCTTACCTTATTTTTCCTTGCCTTTTATAATATTTGTAATCTGTAGAGCATAAACGCGGACTGATTCTTGAATTGCTAAAGTTCCATGCATGATGCATCATCTTGGTTCAATATCAGAGAATTATTTAATTGCTAAATAGGGGGAAAATTTTCAATTGCTGTATATGGAGCAGAATAATATACTTTATTTGTCAACTGGGTTCATGTGCAGATTAGTTTATAAATTCTTTTAACATATTATATTCCTTTCCCCTAGTTTGCTAACATTGACTGCAAGCAATCTGAAGCAGGTTGTCCTTAATGCATTCTAAACACAAACCTAGAGGTGACATTGATTTTGGACTAGGACCAGCACACTTATATTTTTGTATTGACTTTTTTAGAATTTAATTGGGGCACCAGCAGAAGCGAGCTTACTTAATGGGTAGCTTGCACTACAAGCCTCGAATGATTAGAGCTTCATTTTAATACCCTATTTGATGCTAGCCTGTGATACATTCAGCTTTTGATGGTCACAAGTGATCGGTTATCTGGATTTAAGGTTAAAATTCTATCACAGAACAATGCTTTGTCCAGTTGAATTGAGTTTCAGTGCATCTGTCTGCTCTTAACCAGTTAGTCTTGATTTTGGACTGGGACCAGCCTGCTTTTATTCACTATTTATAATATGATTCTTTCAAGGGGGTAGATAGCACAATCCATACACCTCTTTTTTGTTTATTGGGAAAGGCTGTTATATCTTCCATTTATCTTGATTGCCCTAGTTTGTTTGCTGTCGGAAATCAATGGCTGATGGTACACAATTTTTCCTTTTCCTGTTGAAATTTTTTCACATTGTGAATCGTGATACTCTCTACCAGATGAAAGATCATTGTATGATACCTAAATTTCTGTATCCTCAACAGTTGTAATCTCTTGTATTTAACAATATAACATCGTGATCCTAGTTACTTGTATGCTTATGATTTATGTCGCAGGGGAGGGTTTTGTGTGATTGTGTGTTCTTTACATGTAGAGATACAATACTCCAACGAGTTGAGGCAATTATTCTGTTGACCTGGAGTTGTTAGATAAATGAAATTGGAGTTTTGATGTCCTTTTTTCAATCTGAGTTGCATTTGTATTTGAACTGCTTTCTCTTCTAGTAAGGTTGTATATGGCATGGTTGTGATGGATTTCTTCATAGAATGTTTCCTGGAGTACAATGATTACTTGCCTTTTTTTGTTTTACCTATTTGTTTATATCTAATTCAGATAACAGCAGAAAGCAAGAAATTTCCTACAATGTGAATCTGGAGTCAGAAAGCAAGAAACTTGTACACTGTGAATCTGGAGTCTGTTCTTTGAGCATGTTTTAGGGGGGGAGTAAGACCTAATATTTTAGTTGTTCACTCACTCACTCTCTGATTTTTTTTTTTTTTTTTTTCACGAATTGTTATTAGTTTTAGGTCACTATCTTCGCATGGGGGAAATCTTCGTTTGATTTGTCTAAAAGGGCCTATTTGTAAGTTAGTGAGTGTGCGAGAGAGAGAGAGAGAGAGAGAGAGAGAGAGATGAAACAATCACATCTAGGTTCTGGAGGAGCAGCAGAAGCAGTACTAAACCTGCAACCAAACTCGTCAATCTCTATTGCATATCACCCTGTCTTTGGTCCTCACAGTGACCTGATTCTCCTTGAGCTTGATGAGAAGCTCCTCCCAGATGTTCTCCACCAAAGGTTGGTTACAATTTCAATCCCATTTTTATGGCGCTACTTATTCTCTCCACTTTCCAGTTTACTTAACTTTATTAGTTTCTTCCTTTCCAGGGTTACCTTAAGAGGACAGCCAGATGAAGAGGCAGTTCTTTGCACCCAGTCTAAAACTTACGCCATTAAGTTTGTTGGAACCTCTAACTCTGTATTACTTATACCTCCCACAGATCAATCAGCATTTTTTGAAAATCCACAAGATTGTGATGAGATTCATGACAAAGATCATGATGAGAAAGTAGTTGCATCTGTCATCAAAGCGGCACCAGGTTACATGGAGCTTGTTGAGGTTGCTCCCAAAATTGACAAGCTTAAATTGCTTCTCTCCGAGAATCCTTATAGGTTTGATGAGGTTTCAGAAATGGAGGAATTGGAGGCAATGGAAATGGATATTAAAGGTTTGTACACATGGAATGATCTTATTAGCAGGGTACAAGCTAGTGATGAAGAACTGCGGTCTGGATTACGAGCTCTTTCGGCGGTGGAGATTGATGGATATTGGAGAATTTTGGACCAGTATTACACGGACAGAATTCTGAATATTTTTTTGCATAATTCTGTTTTGAATGACTGGTCCTTGAATGCACTTAATGAAGATGAAGTCGTGGGTGTGATGACATCAGACGGGTTTCCTCACAGAATTGTGCTGCACTTTTTGCAAGTTTATGGTAGTAGGGTGGATGAGGGCATGGGCAAAAGTTGTATCTGGAGGCTGGATGAGAAGCGGGTTTGTGTGCATATTGCCAGAGGAATCTTGAGAGGAGGGAAGATGAAGTTGGACAATTTCATGGTGGAGTGGATTAAAAAAATACCAGAAGGTATGCTGGCTGATTTCGACATGCTAGAAGGGGAAGTTTTGACTGAGAAACTTGGGATTGAGACTAGGGTTCGTAGCTTCAGCGTTTCTTCACTGCCCTCTGCCCCAGCTGAACGTTTTTCCATGCTATTTCGAGAGAGGCCAAAATGGGAGTGGAAGGACCTTCAGCCATATATCAGGTTTGATTGTGTTTACTAATTAACTATCATTCTGTTTGTTTTGATGTTGAACTAAAAAATTTCTTTCAGCATTTTCAAGTGTTTGATTGCACACAAAATGTTCCTATACAAGTATTTGATAAAATGATAAGTATTAAGGATAATCCTGAGGCTTATAATTCAAATGATAGAACAATACACGAACACACATATATATAATTATATCCATTGCAAATACATATGGATAGTGTGTATGTGATTATAGCCACACACACACACACACACACACACACACATACGTATAGAAATTTATGTCTGTGCATATGCAAGTGCACATATATTCATGAATTATGATATTCAGACTCCATTTGTGTTGCACTCCAGTTATTATCTGAGCAAGTGAAATGACAATTGTCCTTCAAAGTGGAGTGTAAGAGTTCCGTGCTAGGCTCTTGAATGTCAATTTTGTCATTTAGAAAAATAAATGGAGTGCAAGAGTACAAAAGTTGAATGCAAATATCGATTGTCTATAGATAATATATGTATTCACATCTCTATAAATCAAACATGCATGCACAAATCTGAAATGCTGATATTCATGTCCGGTACATTATCATATAAATTTTAAAAAATTGTTACACTAATTCATAGTTATCTGTATATAATGGTGATAATGAGGTTTTTCATGTAAGAAGTTTTCTCTTCCTTTTGACTCAGTTTCAGTTAAAACTAATTCAAAATTTCTTGGTGTCATTGATGTTGTAGGGATCTAAGTGTGCCAGGTCTTTCTTCGGAAGGTTTGCTTCTCAAATACACTCGAAGAACACAGCCAACCCTAGATGCAGAACCTGTTTTTACTGCAAGATAGTCTGGAAACCCATCTCATATAATTTATATCCACTGTCTCCCGCATTGCTTTAAATGGTTAAAGCATAAAGGATATACTGGCTTGCTCTGAAATGTTACTGTTCCAGCTTATAGTCGATGCGTACTGTTTTGATTGATATGGTTGTTAAATTTAAAGCTAGAACATCTATGAAAGAGCATTTGAAGCTTTTCTCACCTTTTTATCTAATACATCTTCTTGTCCAACTAATAAATAGCAAAGCGTGAGTTCCTTTACAGGTTCGTTGGCCATTAGCTCAGCTGGAATAACTTCTCTAGCTTTATAATACAAGCGAATGTGAATATTTATCTGACAAAAAAATAATGAGAAGAAGATAGGTTCTGTCAAAGATTATTGTTTTGAGGTAAAATGTATCATTTTTTGGCTACCTTTTAAATTTACAAAATATATTACATTATAACAAGTTGGCAAAACAACTTGCAGATCTAATTTTTGGAAGTAAAATTTGAACTTCTAAATAACAACTATTGACAAGTTTCCTATGCTTGCCACTATGCCCAATCCCAGCAATAGTTTTTTTTTTTTTTTTTTTTTTTTTTTTGTGCTAATAATGTAACGATTGAATTTCCAATGGCTATTCGTTATTGAGTTAAATTTCACAATTACTTAAATAATGCTATAAAATATGATGATTTGATGTGAAAATAAGCTATAAAATATGAAATTGTGAAAACACAAAAAAGTTCAATTTAAATAGTTTATAAATGAATTTGTAACTAAAACAAAGTTGATGTTGATTTGGACATTTCAATTTATAAATCACAATAACAATAATACAAATATATATATATATATGAAAAGAAGAAGAAAAAGAAGGAAAACTCGCACATGTTCTTACATAGACATTTTTGCGGTATATATTTGATCAAATGGCCCAAACGCTTTCCCTCCTCCACAACAAAACAAAACCAATGCTTTGGGCGGGAAATCATATAGTATACTGTATTAATATATGTACTGTCTATATATATATATATATTGCATATCTCTGCAAATTGTGATGTTTGAAGCAAATCAAATTAAAACCCTAGTAGCTGCAGTAGAGTGGAGGAGTTTAAATGCCTCCTAGGAAGAAAGTAGCGTCTGGGTCGAAGAAATCAAACCAGAATCAACAAAACTCTCAGCCTTCCAAGTTCGGAATCCAGCATTTCTTCGAGCGCCATACTCAAAACACCCTCTCTCAAAACCCTAAAAATGCCCAAAATTCACGAACATCAGACTCCAACAATTCACTTTCATCCATTCAAAATCCCCAAAATGTTTCAAATTCAATAAGAGCTGAGCCCAGGAATGGTGCTTCAGTCCTTCAAAACCCTAGAAACGTGTCCAACTCAGGAATAGCTGACCCGACTAATTCAGTTTTAGTACCTCACAACCCTAAAATTGCCCTCAATTCAAGCGATTTGGATCCAAAAATAATCAATTCGATTTCTGAAAACTCTATCAATGGCTTCGATAATGCCGTTTCAGCGCCTCAAAACCCAAAAATTACACCTAAATTGCGGACAACTGATGCGAATTGTCCTTCACAGATTACACCTCCTGAGAATATTTTGCCAATTGCCGTTAGTGGTGATGAAAATCAATTTGAGGAGTCGCCTGAAATTTGCAAGTCGGCGGTCAAGCGCTTCAAGTTTTCTCCGGGAATGGTAAATCTATTCCTCCCTCATATGTTGCTATTATGTGCTCAATTTTTGTCTTCTGGGTGACTATTTTTATCTTCTAAGAGCTCTATTACTGAGGGGAAGATCAAAATAAAGGAAAAAGTTCATTCTTTTTGGTAGGTAAATTACTCACACATTCAACTCACACACAGACCCACTATTGCCCCTAAGAGGATTTCAACACTCAAATATTCCATTTCGAAGGACGATAGTTCACTTGAGTGAGCTCGTAAGAAAAGAAGAAAATGTCATTCAAGTGGATTTGACAGATTATTTAGTTTGTTGATAAGAATTATTCTGGTTGTTATTGTGATAGTTGATAAAGCAGAGCCAGGACGATGGAGGCGATGAGGTCACATGGAAGATTTCTCCTGTAAACGAGCGGCTACATGCGGTATCCAAGCACTTACCTGAGATGATGAGAGCATTGGCAGATTCTTCAAGGCTCAACTCTTTGAATTTTCATTCCTGTATGCAGAATAAGGCACGCTGTTCGTATTTAATTCTGCTCGTTTAACTCTTTTTATGCAATGTGTGATGGGTGATTAACTCTGAAACACAGATTTCTCCTAGTTCACCGGGCAAGCTTGAGAAGTGGCTTTCTTCACCTCCAATTCAAGCTGCTGAAAAATCATTGATAGCCTCAAATAGAGCTGGCTTGAAAAACTTTAACTTATATCATAAGGATAGTGGTGTGGTTAACAGTCAGAGTCCGTTCAAGACTCCACCGTCTCTTTCTTATTGCCATGATAAGGTAATTATGTTTTCATGATCCTTGCATACTTGTTGAATTGCTTTAAAAATAATTATTCTGATAATTTTTGCATAAACAAACTACAGCCTAGTGATGGTGTTGATCCTAATGAAGTATGTGATCAGCTGGGTTCAAGGCAACACAAAAAGGTATTTAAAATCTGAATGTACATTTATCATTTTGATTCTCACAGCACGACAATTATTCTGGCTAGTCATTTGTATGTCTGCATCAACTTCTCACACCTTGATATTATGGATGACGGAATGAATGTTTGGAGCATTTTGTCCTATGTACTAGTTACATTTGTTTCTTTTGTCAATTCCTTTAGGCATTGCTTGAACTTTTAGATCAAGTAGAGGATGTCATTTCTGTTGAAGAATCAGTATGCAAGAATACAGGGGCAAGCTTATGCGAAGTTCAAGTTAGAGATGGCGATGATAGATCCACAAAAGGTGATCCTGCTGTGAAAAGCTTGGCAATCGATACACCAGAAAACCCCAATAGAGAACCTTCCAATCTTTATTTTCTTGTCTTGGAGGTATGGTTCAATATAACTATAATTCAATGATTAGTTGTACATGAGAAAAAAATGGCATTCTTCATTCTTGGAGATTTATCATGTTACACCACATATAAGCTGTAGGTTTCTGAGAAGCGTGGAGCTGTTGATTCACTCGGTTCTCGATGTCCTTTTAAGGTTTGTACTAATATTGAATCCAGGTGTTTTTTTTTGCTTTGATGGGACTAGTAAGGTATTCAAAAAAACTATCACTTTTCAGGTTCTGCGCTTACTGAATGAACAAAGTGGAGAAGAGCGTGCTGTGCATTTGTGGGATGAGTGGTAGGTAGTTGTATTGTGACTGTTACATTTGCTAACTGAGTTTCAGATCAAGCTTTTATTATAAGTTATTTTATTTGGTCAATCACTTATCAAAATTGATTATCAGCACTTAAATGATAGAGGGAGGTGAACTTTCTAGATCACAGTTACTTGTTGCTCAGGCAATAGCTTCTCTTGCTATTATATAAAGTCTCAGGTTTGTTCGTATGGTCTCAGATTAAGTACTTCATTAAAGCACTACTTTTAATCTATGTTACTTGGACTTGAGTATGTGTGTCAGATACAGGTATGTATCCAAGCGTTGGACGTGTCAGATCTCTAAATAGGACACACGGACACGGCTAAATATTCATTTTATTTAATTATTTTATTTTATTTTCTAGAGAAAAATAATTTTTGTCTAATACAGTGTTCAATATAGGCATTTAACTCATTTTAAATGAATAATGTAATATAATTGAATGATTGGATATAGTTCTTAACTACATGTCCACCCAAAAGTGTCGCATATACCATACCCATGTCCGAGCAATATGTGTCTGACGCGGGTACTTCATTACTTTTGAAGAGTCCATGTATCGTAGCTTTTAATACTAAAAATAAAATAATGCTTCGCTTCTTAAGAAAGGTCGTTTTAATTTTCTGATCTTTCAGCCGGATGAGCCGAGTACTTTGCGTCATTTCATCGAGTTCCATGACTGGTTGCTTGAAGTGCATATGAGTTCATGTCACATGACTATGACATTATGAATTATGGGGGGGGGGGGGGGGGGGGGGGGGGGGGGCGGGGGGGTGGGGTCTTATGCTTCTGGAAGTGCTTCCATATAATTGTCATTTGAACACCCACCATCTTGGTGACACAGTCTCTTGATCTTTTGATTTCTTCACTATTGTATTTCTTTATTTACTAATTAGTTTCATCTCCTCATTACTCCTATGACCTGTTATACAGCAGCAGTCATTCTAGTTTCATAGTTGTTGTTCACCAGTAATTTGTTAATTTTTCATATGGTTCCGTACTCTTTTTATATGTCTTAATCATTATAATTTATGCCTTCGATAGTATTGGATTAAATACGTGCTATGGGAGCGATTATGATCTTGGTGTTTCTGAATATATATTTGTTTTCTTCCATAGGTTTTACAGCGTTATTGCACCTGGAGATACTATTCATGTCATTGGCGAATTTGATGACCAGGGAACGTGTAACGTGAATCGTGACAATAACTTTCTCATCGTTCACCCAGATATTTTGGTGTCTGGAACTCGGGTATTTAGATTAGTTCTTTCCTACTTGTCTAAATTATATATATATATATATATATATATATATATATATATATATATATATTTTGTTTTCAATCTGAACCAATTTAATTATGGTTCATGTAACATTAGTTGTTGTTTGCCATAATTCATGAAGATTCTTGTTCACTAGATTTGTGCTTCTTCTCACTGTGGTTGTTTAAAAAAAAAAAAATGGACATATTTAGGTCGCTGCCAGTTTCAGTTGCCCAAGGCGAACTGTCCTTGACGAGAGGCTAAAATGCAGCGAGCATTCATCTGCAGCATTGATTGGCACCTTGCTGCATCAAATTTTTCAGGTTTCACGATTTCAAATTATTTTCTAATTTATGGTAAAATATTCAAATATAATGTTGGTTGGATTGAGCAAGCTTTTAAGTTATAGTTTATTCCTTTTAATTTTCTATATGTTAAGCGAGCATTATTTCTTTTTCCAGGCTGGGTTAATGAAGGAAATTCCAACGAAAGAATTTTTGGAAGAATATGTGGGCATAGTGATCCAGAAAAATATTGAGGGCTTGTATGCATGTGGAGGTGGAGATGTAGTAAAATGTCATTTTTTAATACCCCATTTTTCACTGGCAACTTCATCAGATTCATCATTGGACTTGTGAAACCGTGGTTTCATAAATGTTCAATAAGCCATATCATCTTAGTATTTTTGCTTCTTAATATTTGGAGACACCGTTTATTAAACGCCTATTATTATCATATCTCGAACTTTTAACTTTCTCCTTTTGTATATTGCAGTAAATGAAAATGATACGCACAGAACCTTGTATGAAGCAATACCAAAAATATTGAACTGGATATTCCTCTTCCGAGATTCACAGGTGCATGGGTGTTTGATTTTAATGAACATTCAATCCAATTTTTTTAAGTACCATATGTTGTGGGGATGGCAGTGGGACAGGTTTAAACCATTCCATGGAACTGTAGCTAACTTGATGCAAGTCTGGAAACCCAGTCCAGGGTGGCCTCAAGCCAATTTCATATGTTCCAACTTTGTTGCAAATGGTGGGGTAGGGAAGATTACCATTAATATGCATCCATTTAGGTATTTGGACCATGACACAATCTATCAATGAACCTACCCCAGAACAATTCCTCCCTATTGTGCATGGAACCGTGGGTTCCAGATCTTTCATTTTTTTCCCTATGTCTTACATATGGATGGCATTATGACTACATTATATCTACATGAAAAAGGATAGTCCTATTTTATGTTTTTGATTTTGTTGACACTTGGTTTTAGCCATGGACCAAGATGCACACATATGCCTGTAACCATCACACTACAGTTTATGAAGTTTTCCATGCTATGTGTTTCACATCCATCTCAAACTTGTAACTTATAGCTATATCAAATTTTATTTTTATTTTTCCTTAATAAATGGAATTTTTTAAATAAAACAGAAAAGTACATGTAGCACAGAGGGCATCCCCTCAGACAAAACAAAACAAAGAGAAAAGAACCAAGAGTAAACAGCCCCTACTCAAAACAAAAGGAAGGAAGCACTATAAGAAAAGCAAAACATCCTGTCTTCAACTTTGCAGTTTACATCACATTACATTCAAAGTTTAATGTTTGATAAGTTCTTGCAGGATTTGAAAACTCCTAGTGTTAATTTTGGGTTTGATGATGGGCTGGAGAAGGTCAAAATATCAGAGGTCAGTCATCTTAGTGTTGCTTCTTATCATGTGCATGCTTGACCTATCATTTTCGGTTCTGCATTTATGTGAATGTTTCTACAAATTATATGAAGTTTTTAACATTTACAGGCAACGGTGATGCATAGATTTAGATGTGCGTTAACATCACCTATTTCAATATAGCATGCTGCATACAGTTTAGAAATGTTCACATCATCTTGGGTTCTTGAAGTTTTTGCCAAAGCTGATAAATATCTATGCTTACCTCTTCTATATTAATAAATGAATTTTATGATTGATTTTCTTAGTGCCTTTGCATGCACTTGCCTACTCGTAGTTACAATATGTGAATTTTGCTGTATTGACCAAGGGCGTTGTAGCCTAGTGGTATCTCCTCTACTTCCCAAAGTGGAAGGTGAGGGTTCAAGTCTCCATAGGTTGTTTGTTTGTTTGTTTTTGGTTGTGTTGTTGCTGTATTGGTGTTATAAGAGGTCCTCTTAAAATGTAGGTAGTTGATATTGAAGAGATGGCATGGGCTCCAAAATATGGCTTGAAAGGAATGATTGATGCCTCTATCCGGGTTGAAGTTAAATCAAACACTAATGAAGCTAATGAGAAGATTATGCCTTTAGAATTTAAAACTGGGAGAGCAACCAATGGCCAGGCAAGCTTATCATAACTGATAATTTGTGTGTGAAGGACGGGGAGGATCAGTTGGAGTTGGCAAAACCTTCTTCGTTTGACGTCAATCCTACTGTTTTTTTCCTCACTTTAGGAAAAATAATCATTATCATTCATACTTTATTAGTTGTGCAGTCAGCTATGGAGCACAGTGCCCAAGTGATGTTATACACTCTCCTTATGTCTGAGAGGTGTGTATGGTTAAACCAATTTCTTCTCATGTTACAACTTTGGCATTGAGATCTAGTGGAGGATCATTTGTTCTCTCACCTCTTTATTTTTCCTTTTTTTCCCCCAGATATATGAAGACTATTGATAATGGTCTTCTATACTATCTCCACACCGATCAGACACAGGTAAATATCAAATTCTTTTGGCTCGTTTCTTCCTCCTGTTTCCATGCAATTGAGTGTTTGTATACAATATAAAAATGTTGAAGGGAATCACGGTTCGAAGATCTGACTTGGTTGGGCTAATCATGCGTCGTAATGAACTTGCAAATGACATTCTTAAGGCATCAAGAACACAACAACTGCCACCAATGTTACAGGTATGATTAATGCTTAGCATTGTATATATCTGATGACTTGTGCATATATTGCTGTCTAATTTTTTCCATTTTTAATTTCTATGAAGAGTCCAAGCATGTGCAGAGGCTGCCGCCACCTTAATGTTTGTACCATCTACCATAAGGTAAATTTTTTATCCTTCTATAGTCCAAGGAGATTGAATCTCTATTCCTAACTTATTGGTTAATTGCTAGTTTCTGGCAAGAACATGCCTTGTGATATTTCCTTCTAGAATTGAACTGGACCTTCATACAAAAATTTCTAACAGCTGCTAGCTATTTTTAATAATTATCTTTGAAGTTTGCTGCAAAGGCAAGCTTCCTGTATTGAAATATGGGAATCTGTTTTAGGAAAATTATGCAGGACCTTTTTATGAACCAACAACCATTTTCATTTTTTTTACTCAAGAAATTTATTTCTACAGAGAAATAATGTGAATTCAGTCTAATATGCGGAGATGATGTACAAAATTGTAAAGATCCACTTATAGTCTTATACAATTGTTCTTCTGTTTTCCGCTGCCATCTGATGTGAATTACATGAAGCATGGAAACTTACATGTAAAGATGGTATGGTTGTTTGTTTCTGAAAATTTCACCCGGTAAGATGAAATTAAACGAGAACAATTTTTTGTTTTTGGCATTTTATTCAACGGTACTTTCCTTTTTGAAAAAAATAAAATAAAATCATCTGGTAGGGTAAACCAGCGATTTTCAGAACTGAAACAATGAAAATTAGTTGGCTATTAGTTGTCAATTGTTCTGAAAACTATAAAGTCTCCGGTCATCTCTTAAATTAAGAAGTCTAGGACCATAACTCAAGGATCTGACGTAGAGTTGGTGCAAGGTCTGATTAGATCTAGAGGGAGGTGAATAAGTCTTTTCCAAACTTGGACAATTTATACTTAATTTCACTTTTAACCAACTAAAGAATCATTCTTATGCACAAGATCATTTACTCAAACAATCCAAAGTTCCAAACCACAAAGCAATCAAATCAATTTCACTATGAGGAAGAGATTTACACTAGGTTAACAGCTCCCAGACCAAAGAACCCTTAATTACCCCTTGACACAGACTGATCCACCGAACTCACGCTCAAAGTCTCCGTGGACACAGTCTGTTCTGTCACAAGATTTGCTCCTTACTCGATCCACTTCTCCAATCTGTGATTTGATCTCCGATGACTAGTAGTCCAATTCTTTGATGTGCAGGTGTTGTAGTTGACCAATCTTTAAGTAATAGATGAAGCTCCTTGCTTTAGAACTTAACCACACAATGTAATAAGGTATTCTAATTGTGTCACTTATGTTATTCTTATGTTTAGAGAACCTAGAGCACCTCTTTATAGTGTTGAAGTGTTTAGAAGTTGATTAGGAATGTTTTAGATGAGTTTTGGAAAGTTTAGAAAACTTTTCGGACTTGAAAATGCGCCTTTCAGATTCTGGGTGTCCGTTTGATCGACTGATGATTTGGTCCTGGGTTTTCCTCGACCGATGGAACTATTCAAGAGTAATTTCGATTAATTGCGATTGAGGTTTGATTGATTGATCTTTTTTGCTCGACCTGACTGCATATAGTCTGACTTAAGGCGCTTCATTGAGGGGTAAAATGATCTCGAAATTAGGCATATAATATATGGTTGGAAAGCTTATCGAGTCTAGTTTCTTAATATATAAAGACCATCATGAAATTCCAAGCATTTTATTTCTAATGATTTTTGAATACATAAAGACCATTTTTTTTTTTTTTCATTGGCAAGAAACTCACACACACCACTCGCATACCCACTTTGCTCCTTTGGAGATTCCAACCGTCACCATCCACTTTGGGAGGTTGAGGAGATACCACTAGACCACAAGACCCTTGGTTATAAAGGCCAATTTGTACAACTTGAAATCCAAACCAATCAACTTTTAAATTGGTTTACAAATTAAATTCAAAATCTAGTTGATACTTGGTTTCAAATTCATTCTGAAATAAATAATTTTCAATTTTAAACTTTATAACTATATTAAAAGTACTAAACAGTTGGTTCTACATTGAATCAACGTAATTCAAGTACCTAATTTATTTTTCACAAATGACAATAATTATTTTTGTATTCTTTTAGGATTCCTCAATGTCAATTTTTTTTTTTGCTGAGAAATAAAGAAGCATCATAGTTAAATCTTATTTGCACATGACAATAATTATTTTTGTATTCTTTTAGGTAGTATTTCATTAACTTGAATCAGTACTTATTGTGTTCTGTTATGTTAAATGCTGAAGGTGCATGGTGGAAACACAGAGAGTAGTGGATTGGGTGATTTGTTTTATTCACTGGTTCATCACTTAACAAGTGTACATTGTGTTTTCCTTCAACAATGGGATAGATTGATTGACTTAGAAGCTAAAGAAATGCAGGTGCAGCATTTGAAATGACTATACATGATGTTAACAGCTAATTCCTAAAACGATGATGTTAACAGCTAATTCCTTGCTAATTCTTTTCACAATTGCAGATTGTAAAGAGACGAATTTGGTGTTCACGTAATTTGAAAGGTGAACATTCAACTAGCTGCCTGTCTCCTATTGTTCTCGATACTTCAGATAAACTCTCACCAAAAAATTTATCCGAGGGCAACCGCTTCATTTATCGCTTCGTGCATCAAGATTTGCCACCACTTGGTGGAGATTCTCTGAGTTCTGCCTCTTCTCCTTTAAATGATTTGGGCTGCACAATTAGAAGCGGGGACTATGTGGTATAGATATTCTCTCCTAGCTGATGCTTCTATGTTTTTGCCTATTGACATGGATTTGGTAATGATATCTACATTTAAATAGAGCAGCATATTGGTAAAGTTTTACCTGAAGCATTAGTGTTATATCTGATGTGCTTGTTCTCATGGGGAACCACCTTATCAGAAAATTTTCGCCATTGTGATGGGGTTTGACCAACCAAGTCTTAGCACATAAATTCACAAACGCACACAAGGGTCAATGTACAAGGGACAACACACAAGATTACAGGAACAATGTTTCCAACCTTTAGTTATCTTAGCACAAGTAAAAAAGTTTCCGGCCAAGGACTCTGCCGGCAAGCCTTACACTCTCTAAGTCTGCCTTGCCGGAGCCCCATCAATATATAAAACTACAAAAACTGCCCACTAACTTACGGTTGATACCCCCAACCGCCCTAGGGTATGCCAGCATTCTTAGAGGCCGTGAACTAGCCTTACAGCTGACACCCTTAATTCCTAGGATTGTGCTGGCGCGACCAGCACTTGCTCCCAATGCTGCTGTTGTGCTGGTTCCTGGGGCACTTGCCACAAGCATCTGAGGCAGTTCTTTAACAACCACTCATACTTGGTTGTCATGCCCATAAGCTGCCACCCTTGCATGGGATCACCCCCCACTTTTCGCACCAACTTAGAGCTTGGGATTGCAGATGTGTCCTTTATTTGTTTTTCTTATTAAGTTGAGAGGCTGATCTCTATCATGAATTGACGATCATCCCTAATGGTATCTGATTTGTGTTATAATAATAAAATTTGTTATATATTTTCATGTCTTTCTTCTTTTTGCTTAAATGCATGTGCATCTCGAGATGAGCATTTTTTTGCTTCACATGCCATGCAGTGTGTGCTCATATGTTGTCATTTTACAAGCTTTTGTTGTGTATACTTGCATCACACGTTTTTAATTTTTTAACTATTGTCATCTAATTATTTGTTTAATTTGCTAATTTATTTTTTCTCTCAGATACTAAGCACTGAACCTGATCGTCTAATAGTTGCAAGTGGGATCATTACTGATATCAGTCGATCTAATGTTTCTGTAAGAATTATATTTCAGTATTTATTGTCCTATTTACTAAATAAGCTGAAATGTCTGTTTGTAAGTACATCCTTGCTCTCAAGAGATACACAACGCTTTTATATTAATAATAAATAAATAAAATACAGTTCGTGCTAATAATTATAAAGTGTAAGATTCAAAAAAAAAAAAAAAAGCTTTTAGATCCCTTGTTGATTCTTCTATAAAATCTTAGGTATCCTTTTCAAAGCGCTTAAGGCTTCCAGGGAGCAGTCCTTCTGTGGCACAGGATCTCCGTCGGAAGATGTGGCGGATTGACAAGGATGAAGTAATGACATCATTTGCAATTATGAGGTAATACATGATTATAATATTTGCTAATATGTTGCTATCAGTAGTTGTCAAAAAGGGTCTAAAATGTATCTTATATGCCTGTCTTTGGTGATGGAAGATTCAACCTTATGCAACTCTTTCTACAAAACGAGCATAGTTCTCATCTTAGGAAGATTATTGTTGACCTCGAGGTGAATGTCTTTCTAACTAGTACAAATTAGCTGTTACAAGTTCTGCCTCTCTCTCTCTCCTCCCATTTCTTATGGGTGTTTGTGCGCCTGGGCTTTTGTTGTAGGTTCCTAGATTTGACAGTGGATGCATATTTAGTCAAGATCCTGCAATATCATATATCTGGTCTCAAAAGAATTTGAATAATGATCAGCGCAGAGCCATACTCAAGGTGACATACTGACATATCAAATTTTGTTTGTCATGCTGGGTCCTTGATTTCTATTCTTGCTTTATATTCTGCTTTTGCCACTGAACATTAGCCATTTTAGTCTGCTGACTAATTCCATTTAAATCCTTGATTATACTTATGCAATATGATAATTGCAGATACTCACAGCAAAGGATTATGCCCTTATTCTGGGCATGCCTGGAACAGGCAAAACATCAACTATGGTTTATGCAGTGAAGGCATTGTTGATGAGAGGTGCATCCATTTTGCTTACGTCCTACACAAACTCAGCTGTTGATAATTTACTTATCAAATTGAAAGCTCAGGTCAACTCTACCCTTGACATCTTGTTACAGCTGTACTTAGTGGCCCAGGTTTCTGATTCTTGATATGGCACTGTGGCTCTGTAGTTAAAGCTATTACGTAGCCAAATCTGCTTGGAAAGGGATATTGAGATAAATGCTTCTTCAGCTTAAACGGAGTGCTTCTTATTGAAAACTTGCTTTAGAAAAATATAATAAACAAATTAATAAAACACGAGTATAGGATTAAAAAGAGGCAGCATCTCTCACATGCATATGAAACTTTGAATAATACCTTGCCTTTTGCAGTTGCTTATGGTCTTATATTTTTCATGGCTTACATATTCAGTTCAACTTTGAGAAATGATAACAATTCAAGACCAAAGGATTACAGAAGACACTTTAGAAGCAAAAATTGAAATTCAAGTAGGAATGTAATAGGTTGGGTAAAATGGAGAGACGTTATTGAATGTGGTGAATTAATCAAACGATACACTGAATACAAAAACCATGTAGAATCAGAATTCTGATATCATGTTAGACAAACCACTTGCTCAAAAGTTTAAATTGTAAGAAATGTGCCAAACAAAAGGTTAAATTTTAAGGAATGTGCCAAACAATGGTTAGACAAACCACTTGCTCAAAAGCTTAAATTGTAAGAAATGTGCGACACAAAAGCTTAAATCGTGAGGAATGTGCCAAAGCAATGTATATTATGCTCTTGCAACCTCTCTCGCGAGTTATGTCCTTGTAGAAATGTCAATCATGATGAAATTTATGTCGCAAATTATGATTTTGTGATTTAATTATTGCATCTTAGATCTTCATATTGCATTGCTATTTTGGGTCACTCCAGCATACTATTTTGAGTTTATATTCAATTACCCAAATATATACTATTGTAGGGCATAGATTTTGTACGAGTTGGAAGATATGAAGCTGTGCATGAGGATGTTCGTGAGCACTGCTTTTCAGGTTCGGTGTTTTTCATTAACAGCCTTTCTTTCTGTATCTGTTGGTTTCTTTTCAATTTACCATGAAAACTTTCTTTGACAGCAATGGACATGCATAGTGTCGAAGACATCAAGCTCAAACTAGACCAAATCAAAGTTGTTGCAGTTACTTGCTTGGGGATACTTAGTCCCTTGCTTGCAAATAAGAAATTTGATGTATGCATCATGGATGAAGCTGGACAGACTACTCTCCCCGTATGTGCTTCTTTTTAGCTAATCTGTTCCTAAATTAATGAAAGCAGTAAAGTACTTATTGCTATTATCTGTATTGCAAGCATAATGATATGACTATATTTTAAGAAACTCATCATCATAAAGAAGTTTTTTTATTTTATTTTATTATTATTATTATTATTATTATTATTTGGAGATCTTAATGCTTCTTTAGGGTTAGATTCCTGTAAATACCTTAGCTGGGCGGGACTTTTTTGCAGCAATCGGTTTGGTTTAAATTGGTTGTTCTGGGATGTTCAAGGCATGGCCCTTGCTTTGAGAGTTTATGGATCTGCCAAATGGACTTGGGGTGAGGCTTGGTCTTGAGAATAGCAAGCAAACAGGCAATTTGTTTAGCTACATGGGGAGCGTTTTTCATACAATCATTCTGTGGCACCTTTATTCTTTCTAATCTCTTGCTCAAGTTTTGGGTGGGATTCTGTTTTTGGGGTTGGCCATTTTTCTCCATGTAGAAAGGAGCCCCATCATTCTTCCTACATTACTTTTCTTACTCTCATAGGAGGTTTTTTGTTGTTATTAGTTGTGGCTTCTATAAAATGGGAGGTTTATTTAACAATTTGTGATAAATCATTATATGTCCATCATCTGGGAGCATAGAAGTACTATTGTATAGACCAACAGGCCAGTGGCCTAGTGGTACCAGGCCCTTACTTCCCAAAGGGAGGTCAGGAGTTCGAGCCTCAATGGAGGCCTATGTGTGTGAGTACCAATTAAGAAAAAAAAAGAAGTAATATTGTATAGTCACACTTTTTAATTTGGGGAAAAGTTGATGGCAAGCACTAGGTCTAATCTTTTATTCATCTTTTTTATTGATGTTACATAGGATGCACCATTTAGGCGTTGGTCGGACCAACAAATTTCAAAGAACCTTTTTGGGGGATTTTTATTTGCCATAAATTGACAATCTCTGGGAAATATGTTGTAGATACATTTTTTTTGAATTGGCTCTTTTGAGTATGCTAGTAGGTTAATTAATTATACTTGCTCATTATTTTGCATTGATTACTTGTCTCAACATTGTAGCATTAATTGTTTTGTGCTTTGGGACAAAATTTTGAGGAAATCTTGACATTCTATGTTTCATTAGGAATTTAATTTCAGTATACGAGTCATTCCAATTAAGTTAGGATCATATTGGACTTACAGATATGATCTAAAACTTGAGGAATTGGAGATGTATGAAAAAATTGTGTTAACTCTTTTGAAGTACTACAGAATTATGTCAGTATCATTGCCCTTTTAATATGGAATTCATGAGAAACCCTTATACATATGTTGGTTTTTAGTGGGTTGTTGCACGCCTTTTCTATGCTTCTGTCAAGAGCACAAGGCCCTTCAGTACCTTCATTCTGACTTCTATTTGAGAGTTCTGAGCCTTTAAAGTGAATTTAGTGATTCTACTTTTAAACTTTGAAGCGAAAACGGACATGTTTAAATTGTGAAGCTTAGACTTCAAATAATTTATTTATATACTTTTTTCAGAAATTTATACTCCCACACCAATTGTATGGATTCTTGTTGTTTATAACCTTGATGTCTGGATATCTTTGGATGTTTGGGAATACTTATCCTAATTGATTGAAACTGCTTATATTTTAAATTTGTTTTTTTCTATGTATTTCATGGTATTTAATTTATAAAGTTTTCAGATTTTGTTAAAAAAAATTAAAATCATGAAGATTAAGGTATTATTTTAGAGGAACGACGGAGTTTGTAGAAAATTGATGGTTGAAAGAGTATTTCACACATACATATAGACATATATATTTTATTCTTTTTTATAATTGGTCATACACAAATATGCATGGTTGTTTATATATAGTTTTATGCTTCTATGTTATATTGAGCATATTGTATGAATACTTTTTATATTCAACTCTTTATATTAGGTATATATATTTTCTAGATGTTAACAACTAATCAAGAACTGCAGTTAGATTGCTTTGATAATTTATGAATTGACATCATTATTGTCCTATCAGGTATCCTTGGGGCCTTTAACGTTCGCATCAGTGTTTGTTCTCGTTGGAGATCATTATCAGTTACCACCACTTGTCCAGGTGTATATTTCTATCTAGTTATAAGTGCTTCAACTTTTCCTGTCATAACTAGTGGCTAAAAGAAGTTTTAATTCTGTCCACTGTTATCTTAGAGTACAGAGGCTCAGGAGCACGGAATGGGTGTGAGCCTTTTTTGCAGGCTATCAGAAGCACATCCCCATGCAATTTCAGCATTGCAAAGCCAGGTTATTCTGAATTGTTAGTTGAGCTTTTTTGGTATTCTTTGTTAGTATCAGTATCTAACTGTTGAATATGTTCAATATGCAGTATCGTATGTCTGCAGGCATTATGGAACTATCAAATGCCTTGATATATGGTAACAGATTGCGCTGTGGTTCCTCGGAAATAGAGAATGCCAAACTTAATTACAAAAATTCAAAATCTTTATCGGGATGGCTAAAGGAGGTAATAATTTTTACTCTAATATATTATAAGCTTAATGTGTTTCACTGTCTTGTTTATAGTTGAGCATTTCTGTGCGACGTGCGTGCCTGTTTTATTTTGTACTATTTCTATCGAACTCTGTGTAAACAATGACATGGACCATGTTGGCAAAGACATGAATATCAAGTTTATTGTAACACTCAGCTTAGCTCATCCTTATGTTTGCAAATAGTAGATTTTGTTATATTACTCACTCACTAGGAAGCACGGATACAGACATGGGTACGACACGATACTGACACGACGATATGGAAATTCTCAAAAAAAAGAAAAGAAAAAAGGACATGGGTATGACACGTCAAAAAATAATAAATAATATATCAGGTGGTTCAGAATTTTGCAATAATGAACAACTATTAGATATGCAGAGAATTTTATTTCTTAATACCACAAAATCTCAAAACCCCGTGTATAACAGGCAACATTTTAATTTGGAGACAATGTTGTGAATTTTAACTTGATGATTTCAAACTTTCTCGTATTATTTGCATGTCAAGGATGACATTCCAGATTAATGACCTTGCTTATATTAATATCTGCAGGTCTTGGATCCAAACCGACCCGTAGTATTTATCAACACAGGTCCGTAGAGATGTTCTCCTTCCTTTTTTCCTGTGATACTGTCCTTGCTTTTAAGGGCAGCTTTCAGAATCGTAGCTTGAGCTGCTTACTAAATCTTCTTTGCAACTTAGATATGTTGCCTGCTCTCGAGACCAAGGAAAAAAAGACTGTAAATAACCCAATTGAAGCTTACATTATTGCTGAGGTATGATCTTTCTACTATCAGTTATTTTCTCTAAGGCAATGGGATGACTTCCTTGTAAGTTTGTAACCTTCCCTGAACTATTTTTTAACCTCATTTGTTTATTACAAGTAGGTTACAGGGGAATTGGTTAATAAAGGCATTGAGGTGGAAGATATCGGCATTATTACCCCCTACAACTCTCAGGCAAATCACATCCGCCATGCTGTTTCCACATCTGTGGAGATACATACTATTGACAAATATCAGGTAATAGTTTAGCTTATACTAGTATACTCTTAGAAGAGTTGAATTCATACTTAAAAATCATGTGGATAGCATATGTGCTTCTGATATCAACTACAATTGTGCCCGCATATTCATCTTTTGAAATTGATTTCATTTCACAATGAGACTTCTTTTAAATTATATCCAGGATTCTAGATAAATCCTTATCTTTTTCCTTCCAATTTTTTTCTAGAATATTCCTAAAAAGGTGGAGAAAAGCTTTTGAATCAAAAGGATTGGAAATTGGTCAAACTAAAACAGTGTATACGATACGTAAATTTAAATAAGATTCAAATCTTGATCACACTTCAAAACCAATGGATTATTCAACATAACTATTTTTTATATCTAGGATCAATAATAGTATAATATTAAAAGATGAAGAGAAAGATAGTGATATAACTAGTAGAATTGGATCAGAGTGGACAAAATGGAGAGAAGCTAGTGGCATTCTATGCGATAAGAGAATAAAAAATAGGTTCAAAAGAAAATTTTATGGAACTGTTATAAGACCAACTATTCTATATGGAGCAGAAGGCACTGCTTTTAAAAAACGAAACAAAAACAACACTTCATGCAGCGGAAATGAGAATGCTAAGATGGATGATTGGAATGGCTAAAAGAGATGGGGTTACAAATGAGAGTGAGAAAAATGAGTAGCACAGTGAGAAAAAAAGAAAAGAAAAGAAAAGAGAGTGGACTTGGATAATATGGATAGATACAACGACGACGACCTATGAATGTGCTAGTAACAAGAGGAAGATTAGCTCTTACAAAGGGTAAGAGATATAGAGGGTGACAAAACTTAACATGGGATGAAATTATAAAAAATGACTTTAAAAAGTTGAATATAATTGGGGAGATGGCGTGTAATAGAAAATAAGAATCCATGTGGCTGGCCCTATTCATATTGGATTAAGGAAGGATGATGATGGTGTTACTGAACAACTCTCGGATTGCTAAATGAGTTGAAGGGTGGTTATTTCTTAATTACTATCGGATTGCTCAACCCGTCTGCTTGGTTCTTGTTGCATGTTATATTAACCTTTTGAATACGTGTCACAGATTTTTAGCAGATCCATTAAATGAGTTCTTTTATTCTAGAAATTTAATTTCAACTAATTATATGACTTTTTCTTTTATATTACATTAGTATATATTATGTAATAAAATGTCTCATCAAATCAAAAGGCATATACAAGTTAGGATCAACGATCACTTAAGTTAGCTTCTCATAATCCATCTGTTGACTCTGTACAGGGAAGAGATAAGGACTGCATACTGGTGTCCTTTGTAAGGTCTAGTGAAAATCCAAGGAGCTGTGTTTCTTCACTGCTTGGAGACTGGCACAGGATTAATGTTGCTCTCACACGTGCCAAGGTTGGCATTTCAGTATCTTGTTATAGATATTATGCTTGTTCAAACATTTAATTTGCAGCAACTGAGGTTGATTTCTTGCAACCAGTTGCAAATACAACTTACACTTCTAAAAGGAATTCATATGCGCATAGCAGTGTTACCTAAGTTACTTAACTGTTTCTTTATTGAAAATAAAAAGAAAAAAAAAAAAATTAAAGCACTTGTGGTAAATATGGCAGGCTTCCTTCTGTATATGAATCTGCTATCTGTGAGAGCAAATTGGATACCATTAATTTTTTCCTTTCATTACCATGCAGAAAAAGTTGATCATGGTGGGATCATGCAGAACACTTTCTAAAGTTCCTCTGCTAAAGCTTCTCATTGAGAAGGTTGATGAGCGGTCAGGAATTTTTAATGTGTCCAAAAAGGATATTAACTACAAAAGAGAGCTGAAGAGGTGCTCGCAAATCAGATGAGTGTAAATTTTTGCCCCCTTTTTGTATCTTCATTGTGTAGTTGGAAATTTTGATTATTTTGTGAAAATTCCATAAATGTAAATAGAACCGACTCTCTTCTCTCTCAAACATGCTATACACAAGGGTGTTATTTCTCAATCATGCATATACGTACAGTTGCAAAGAGTATCTGCTTCACTTTTTTGCCAAGACTTGCTTTCTAAGAGGATTCTTTTCTTTTTAAAGAGGTTGGAAGGGATTATATGCATTTCTCAACACATACACGTTGTATTAGAAGACGGATAGAATATATTTTAATTGGTTTTTTTTTATTACTTACTTTTTTGGTAAACGAATCAAAGGTACAATCCCATTTGTCCAATTAGCAATGTGAATCCGCAACCTTTTACTTGGGAAGAGGTATCACCTCGACCTTGTGGTAAAATATATTGTAATTGTTGAACTGATTGCATTTTCAAATCCTAAGCCAAGCAAACTAAGAAGTTTGATTCAGAAAGCAGAGACTCTTGATGTGGTGAAGATGTCATGAATTATTTTCAATCATTACATAATTCATGATTTTTTTTTTTTTTTTTTTGGCTCGGGATGACGTAATTCGTGAATTTTAACCGTCTGTTTTTTATCAGTCTCTTATCGCTCTAGTCTCATTTCTCTCAGAGTCGGCGTTTGAAGACTTGACTCAAAAATTAGAAATTAGATGAAACATACCAAACAGATCTAATTCCTATTCATATTACATTGTTTTAACAGTCATTGGATATCTATGGCATGTGTTAAAATTTCTGTTTAACACAATTATTAAAACAAAAATATTTTTAAATGGATTAGTTGCATAAGAAGAAATGATTAGGTGTATATGGATTAAATGTTAGTACTACTTAAGTTTAAGTTTTTGAGTCAAGACCATGAAGCACTCAACTCTGTATAATTGGTATTGGAGTCAAATTTAATTATTGATATGGTATTAGAGTCAAATTTAATTATTGATCTGGTGTCACACCAAAGTATTTACATAATTCCAACCACTAGTACAATTGGTATTAGAACCAAATCTAATTATTGAGCGACACCAAGCATTTACATGATTCCCACCACTGGTACAATTGACATTAGAGCCAAATCTAATAATTGATTTAGTGTCACACCAAACATTTACATGAGATGAAGTATCATACCAAGAGTCCCATTGCCAAGTGATCTGACCAAGAGTCCCATTGTCAAGTAGGCCAACCAGAGGGTTTCATGAAATTATTTTTATCCTTTAATGTAGTGAGAATGATTCACGCTGCTTTCAAATGAATAAAAGATCCTTCAAAATTAACTAGATAAATAGGGCCAAATATCTTTTTCTTATTTTATTTATTAATCATTTTTCGCATGCCAAATAGCATTGTTCTACTTAGAGATTTCATACAATTCATAAATTCCTTCTAACTACAACGAGAGGCGTCAAAAAATTATTTTTATCCTTTGATATAGTGAAAATGACTCACACTTGATCTTTCAAATGGATAATAGGTCCTTCAAAGTTAACTAGAGAAATAGGGCCAAAGATCATTTTTATTATTTTATTTATTAATTATTTTTTGCATACCAAATAGCATTGTTCTACCAGAGATTTTATACAACTCATAAATTCCTTTTCAAGGAACACTAACCATAAATTTTGCACGAGAACCATCTTTTTGGGGTATGTACAATTCTGTGAAAAATGGATTGCAGGCCATTGTCACAAAAACTTGAAAATCATCGCACATATAAGACCCCAATTACTTGCCACAAGAAGCAAAATATGATTCAAGTAATGCTTGCATAAACAACAAAATTTCCTAGTGAAACACCACAGTAAATCATGAATAAACAAACATTTTAACCCCTAAAAACATATTAAAGTCCCTAATTAGTGCAGATCAAGGACTCAACTTAAAAGCTTCAAAAATATTTATTAAAGAACACAACTCACTCCTGACCAAAGTCAAAGGACAGAACCTCCTCTGAGACATCCAACAACTCCTCAACTTCAACTTCCTTTGCTTCATACTCTTCTTCTTCATCGCTGGCTTCCCCATCCCTCAGCCGCTGCCTTTCCAATTTCTCCTCTTCATGCAGTCGTTTCCACTCATTGACCCACCTCTCCCATTCATCCTTCAACATTTTCCGCTTCTCACGATCCTGCTCGCTCAATAGCATCGATACGTCCTGGTCCTCTGCCTCGTACTTCTTACTATATTTTTTCAGGTTCTTTGCAATCTCTTCCTCTTTCTCAGGGCTCAAGAATGATGGTGGCCTTGGGCGCCATGCAAACTGTAATGATCAACAGTAAAATAAGCATCCCTCTTTGAGGGGTTGAATCATGGGCGAGTGCAAGCAGGGAATTCATAATTTCACACAACCAAACATATGTTCGAATTGCTCCAACAATGTCCAACTTCTACAGAGATTCTGTGTGACCAAGGCCATTTTATTATTTGCCAATTTCATTTATTAAAAAAAAACTCATTCAAGATAATGTTATAATTTAAAAACTTATAATATTGTCAAAAGATATCGAATCCCTATAGAAGGTTGAAGAAACAGAAAATGGTCCATTATAATGGTAGAATAATCCGACCAATGAATGCGCTAAATATAATTAGTAACTATGTGTGTTACTCTTTAATTGTATCCGTTACTCTAGTTATTGTTATCATGAGTAATGTATTAGTTATGTATGTTAGCAGTGATTAAAAGTCATGGTGGCTACTTACACAACGTTATTTAATCCATGAAGCCGTATGTTTTATAGATGAACCAGTAACAAGTTTATTTGCTGAGAAGTAAAACACGTTAGAAGACTTGGATCTTCTTACCTGAAAGAAATGATCCTTCAGTATCCTATACAGCAGCTTGCCATTAAAGGACCAAATGTTGAAACCATTTTCCATTTCATGAACTGAAGTCACTGCAGTTGCAACATACCTACAGATACAAATGGATGCTAATATGAGATTATAATACATATCACAAGCACTATTATATTATAGAAATCAACACAAATGAACAGAAGGGAAACTTTGGTTCTAAAAAAATTTAAAGCAAAATAATAGAGCCGTTTATCCATTCAAAAACTTTCTGAAAATTACCTTCCAGTAGGATCCCATTCAATGTCCGTTGCCATGAAATGCTCAGCTGTAGCCATAGTTTCAAGCTCATCAACATTGTAGAACTCCAACTGTCCATTGAAACCCTTCAGCCCAGCCAGTATTATGAAGCGACCAGCAGGTGACCAGTATAGAGCATTTGCTTGCTTGCCCTTGAGAGTTGTGAGCTTTGAAACCCTACCCGTGTTATGACCGCTTCGCATTGAGTAGAAACTTACATCTGGCCTTGGGCTATCTCCATGGATAACTGCAAATCTGTGGCCCTTTGGCTCCCATGCAAATGCAATAATCTTGTCATTCTTATTCTCAAGCTCCAGAACTTCAATGGGTATGTCCCGTTCTTTGATTCGGAAGAGCTCAAAGCCAGTGTATGTGCTCTTCTTAGTTTTTGTGTATCGGTCAACCTTAACCGCAAGGTAGTCCCCATTGCTCTGCCAATACATTTTGCAATCACTAACACTGAAGAGGTTCTTCTGTCTTAACTCCTCTTTGCTTGGGATTTGAACAAGACTCACCTACAAAAAAGTATGCAGAACATTATCTAAACTTTACTCGCCAAAATGAAATTCAGAAGGAAAATAATCTCTCCTTGTAAAACATTTGGACTCACCCTAGCAGGTTGGTTACCGCCACCAAGTTCAGGAACAAAAAGTGCAAGAATAGGATCGGTAGGTGACCAACAGAAGTCCATAACATTTTCAACCTTAATGGATTTCTTGTCAATAAGAGTGAAGGTCTCTGTTTCATAGACCGAGATAACATTTTTTCCAATTCTGGCAAAATACTTGTCATCTTTTCCACCACCCCACCTGGAAAATGAATAATGGAATCCATGAGACAGATTTAATGATGGCAATCTTCCAGAGTCCAGGTACATTAATGGTTACTAAAAGATCACCTGAAAATAGGCCAAGACACCCCCGTAACACCTCCAGTTCCACCAATTGCAAACTCATCTGCGCTCCCCTTGAAATCTCTCATGACTTTCCCCGTTCTCACGTCAAAAATATTTAGCACAACCCTCTGAAATATTAAACATTAGAGATGCCTTCAAAGTAGATCAAATTAAATAGAACAATGGGAAGGTAGAAAACCTCACATGAGTATCGCGAGGATTGCTTGGTTCATGGCTGCTGTAAGTTACCAAAAATCTCTCACCAGGTGAGAAATCAATCAGTTTTACCTGCAGTAAATAAAACCACAGCTAAAGATTCACCAAAAACAAAATGGGTACTCAACAGAACAGCAAAAACAAAAGCGAAAATAACCTGGGGATGAGCATAACGCATAAGGCGGTTAAAGGAAGTGGCACCACCCCACACAGCAGCACCCTGCCTATGAACTGTGGCTAAGTAAGTCCCTAGTGGGGACCACTGGACAAAACTTTCAGTCCAGAACTGCAAAGAGAAGGCATCGCCCATCATTAGAAATAAATAAAGCTATTACAAAAGGAAAAATATTTAATAATACATAACAAGGTAAGCACTGTGTAGGGTAACAAAGTTGTCGTTCTGATGTGAATCATTAACAGGACAAACTCTAAGCAGACCTATGCCAAACTTCAAACACAAGCACGCGCACGCACAGATCATTTAACGAAGTTAACCATACTAATGAGAACATCAGAACTTTGTGATGGTAATGAGACAATCAAAATAACATAAAAATTAAGTCCACTCACAGCACGTTTGTAAACAGGATCAGGCTTCAACTGCCTGGCATCGTTCCATAAAACCTCCGTGTCTGATCCAGCACGAATAACAAACTGATCTCTAGCTTTCTCGTCAGTAAGCCAATGTTGTAGATTTTCCTGTAAAATATAAAGTAAGCGACAAGGCAACCATTCACAGAGAAAGAAAGAGAGAGAGAGAGAGACACACACACACACACAGGGTTTAATACCATTGTGTAGCCATAATCGACCAACAAAGTTATGCAAAGATCAACAGGGTGCATTATGTTCCAAGTGACAACGATCTAAAATATATGGTCTCATTTCAGAAAAACTTACAGACAATATATTCTTCATCTGGTCCACACAGTAATAAACAGTACACTCCATACTTAATTTCCTTATAATATCCAATCAACTTGTACACCTATATCTCCACCAACAGAAACAACTTCTGATACAAATCATTGACCATCATATGCTTCAACAATCACCGAACCAGTTTTTCAACATCCGAAGATTTCTTCATCTTCACATGTATCTGTTTATACATGTATGCAAAACTATGGAATCACTATATCTACCAAGTGCATCCTCTTTTATAGGACCAATTTCACCTATTTTCCAGCCAATTATCCTATTTTCATAGTGATCTGAGGGGGATTTTATATAAATTACAGTATCAAATTGCATTGACAAAAAAGTAGGAAATCCAGCAACCAAAATCTAATTTTATGCATTATCTTTTATATATATATGATAGTAGTATTATCAAAAATCATGTTGTTCAGATTCTGGTCGGCAAATCATATTACCATTCCAGTGGATCTAGCATTTTTTTTTTTTTTTTTGATAATTAAAATTGAATAAAAGCTTTTGAGCGCATCCCAAGAGAACTAGACAAGGCCAAATAGGGCCTCTAGACTTTCAAAGAGCCCAAAAATCGACAAGTGCTCACAGTGGATCTAACGTATAAAAACAGGAACATTTGTGGGTGGGGGTAAAGATCCAATACAATTGCTTACCCCTGGAGTATATGGTTTTGTTTCAGGAGGGGCCCACTCATCCGGAACCTTCAAAAACTTCTCAATGTCATCAAACATGTTCACAGCAAATATATGTGCTCTGTCCAGCTTGTAGAGATTCGTTTTCTCCCTAGCAAGTTCAGCTTCCTAAATGGCAAGAAAAAACAAATCCAAACAAAAATGAATTTAATTAGGAATTACCATACTGAAGAAATCCAAAATTAATACATGGAATCTTCTCACAAATTAACAGGAACAACAAAATTATAGATATCGACAAGAATAATAGTAATCATAACATAAAATATGACAGCAAATGTATACAGCGTTCCAATCATCAATGATCATCTCACCTACATTTCAACACTAAACAAACAAATCCTAACACCATGGAAGCACCTAACCCTAAGATCAGCTTTGATGTGCATAGAAAGCATCCGAACAATGTGCATTAGATCCACATATTCATATGCAGACAAATGCTAAAAACGCAGACTGTACAACAAACTGGAAAAGAGACTGGGTTGAGCATTAGTAGCAGTACAGCCTTCAGTTTAGCGGAAGTTGAACCATGGCATCACAGTGATATCACAGATATATTGATTAAAACACATAAACAATATATATTACAAAACATAATAAAAAATTCACGAGTATAATCCTATCAATTTCCTAGCAACTATGAACATCTCTGCTATTACTTCTCTTACGAATTTACTCATGTTGCGTTTGGGAGCACCAAATTGATATTGGAATTAAAGGAAATTTAGTTCAGACTTCCATAGTGCGTGCATGTGTGTCTTACCTATCAAAAGAAAAAAAAAAATTATACCATGACCACGATCAGGAATCAATGAATTCATTATTATTATAGACCAACCCTAAATTATGACAATTTTAGGGTATATTGAAATTGCCTCAGATGGATTAATAACATTGTAACAGCTAAGGTTAAGCAATACATGGATTCATCGCAAATCAATGCTCAATCTATCCCTCAATGTACATTACCACAAAGTTGAATTTAACAAATGTAATGAAATATGTTCTAACATGAAAAAGACCTGAAAATAAAGAAGGCAGTAATTTTTAAAATCAGCCATCCAGAGTGAAAAGCATTCAACTTCAACCATGACTTCTCAAAAATACCCCTAAGATGGTATAATCTGAAGTCAACCATTAAAAGTAATCACATGACCAAACTCAGCAAAGAGTATACATATTCTCCATTTATGTTGAGTCACAAACATAGAATCTTGTTGCAGAAACTTGAGCATATTAACTTTGTAACAACCTCACACCATTGTTAAACTAAATGAAATAGAGCTCCAGAATTCTTCTCCAACAGCAGGAGTGTTACATATCAACTTTCTTTCTTGGGGAGGAAGAAAAAAGAAGGAAAAAATATATATGCAGTATTCATTCCAAAAGAAAAGAACATCAAATACATGAAGTAAAATTCAGGAGTAAAGATACAAGTATTTCTTTAGGACAATAGTTATTTACTTATTGGTGAGTTTCCGGATGTGATCCAATCACAAATGCAAATGCACATATCATCTTAAATTTTAAAATCGAGAAAGTGATAAATTAAAGACGTAATATATGTATGGAAAGGGGCACACACAATAAAACAGCAAACAGATTACAAGGGCTCAAACAAAACCATTGAATATATATTTAATATAATTCACGAGCTCCAACCTCATATACATATGTGTGCAGATATCTAGGTTTAGACGTGTATTTGTGTGTATATATATTTGAGTTCTTATTTTCGCACCATAAGAGGAGAGAATGATACCTGTGGAGTGTTATATTCAATAAAGCAGAAACCTAGGGTTTTCTGGGTGGCAGGATCGACAGGCATCCAAAGACCATCTTCTTTAATCACACCAATCTGACTGTAAATTTTTCGGATAACACCTTCAAGCTTTTCGAACTTCTCCTTCGGAACAACAGGTATGTTATCCACGACGATTATGTTACCGAACCCACCATCGAATTCCAAAGAGTCCTCTTGGTTAAGATCTTCATCATCACTAATAGCCAAAAAAAAATGCACAATGACCAAAAATTTCATTATATATATATATGTGATAATTAGGGTTTTGGGATTTTTAGTTTTTACCTTATGATGCCGAAGTCTTCACCGGGAGGGAGGCGTATGGAATCCAAATCAACTTCAGCGATATCGATTCCGAGTCGCGAAGCTGTAGCATTGATGTCTTCCATCGACATCACGTCCGCCATGATTGCTTTGTGTGTTTAGAGAGAGAGAGAGAGAGACTGTGTGTAAATCCTAAAGAGAGAATCTCCGTAGCCAGGTTGGGAATCTAGAGAGAGAGAGTGTGTTATCGGCGGCTTAAATCTTCACCAAGGGCTTGCGCGCGCAGGAAACCTAGAGAGGGTAGGGAATGGGAATTACAAAGGGACCCTTTTATTGATTGTGTTGACATGATGGGCCTGGGCCTATACGCCATTTCTGGTTGCGGTAACACTAATGGGCCACGTAGGATTCGAACTTAACTCAATTAAAGGTGGATCCACTCTAAAATCCCAGTACCTCCAGCCCAATAAAGTTACATGTGTTTCGTCTTTACCGAAAAACACAGTGGAGTTTGTCTTTGTTATATATATCTCTATTTACAGTTTTTGTAACATTTAACCATCATCTGCATTTCGTTTCGGTAAACTTCCACTTCATTTGATTTTTTAACTAGAATAAGAAAATATTGTAATTCAAAAACAACAAAAAGCCACAACCTTCTATGATTTAAGGGTATCTTATTTCCTTTCAAAGCAGAATTTCGACAGTTCAAATTTCTCCTGTGGGATACTCAAACATATGCCAACAAGACCTTCATTAGTCCACCTTGAATAAACCCTCAGCCCTTTTTTTCTTATAATTAAAAAAAAAAAAAAAAAAAAAATGCCAAAATCTGAAACTAAAGGAAGTAGTAGGTAGGAGAAAGTAGAGAGAGAGAGAGCAGATCGAATAAACCTCTCTATAAATTCCAAAGCCTCTCTAAAATCAACATTTGCAGAACCTCACCTCTCTCGATTACTCTGTTTAGACTGGTGACCTGCCTCACTCACCATTACTAAAAAAAAAATATGATCTTGTGAATCAATAATAAAGTTCGGCTCTATATGAAAGATTTTAGATACTTGGAAGCCTCTGGTCTTCACAGAAAAATGCAAAATTTGCCTCTTACAAAATTGAAGAATGCTTTGAAAACCCAAAAAAGACTAAAACGAAGAAGAAAAAGAAAATAGAAGAGCAGATTAATGAACAGAATTTATTTTGATCTACTTGCGCCACTCTATTAAGCATTCCTACATAATATTCGCCTCTGTAACACCATTTACTCATAGAACTTGTGCCCAATACAAGCAAAAAATGCACACATTTGCCAACTAAAAGTATCCTAATCAGCTTAACAAATAAATCAAATATAAAATTGTAAAACTCGGGCATTTATCACTAGGTCATTGGAAGACCAAAAAAATATCATGGCTAATGTAACATAGCTTGAGTCGACAGATTTACAGACTAATATCTACACTCGGATCAAGTTTGTCAATGGATTTCTGTAAACAAAAGAAAAAAGAAGCTGAGGTTTCCTCGCCAGGGTAAAATTTGAGGTTGCAATACTTTTTCCAAGGTAGTCAAATGCCTTTATGGAAGCTGGAAAGGATGCACTACCGAAGAGATTTGATCAATCAATGCCCAAGCTTGAGTAAGGTTCAAAACCACCCTGACAATCAAAAACAACCACGACAAGTCTATTTTCAGTGATACATTTACAAAGCAAGATATTCATACTGTACTAATTATAATTAGATTAACATACTTCTACAACTGGAGGGAGCAAACGAACGGGAATACCATTTTCTCTCTCTCTCTCTCTCTCTCTCTCTCTCTCTCTCTGTCTGTGGGGTTGGGGGAGGGGATACAACCGTAGACCTCTGATCATTTTATTAATCTAATTTTGCAGAAAAATATTACTTACAGAGCAGTCATCATGAACTTGCCATATGGTTTCGCCCAGAAGGTTTGCTACAGATAAGACTGTCAGCTGGGGAAAATAGTTCTGCTCCAACACCGGGATGGTGTTTGTAATTATCACCTCTTGAAACAGACCGCTCGACAACCTCTCTATTGCAGGAGGACTGCAAAAAGTTAAAAGTACAGATTTTGAGCAAAAAGAACATGATAAATAACAAATAGATTAATACACTGGCAAAGACATAAACCTGTTCTTGATTAAAATTTGAATTACTCATCAAAAAAAAAAAAGAATTTTGAATTAAGCAACAGAGATGCGTAATATTCATATTGCACTAAGACAGTGGGCTGAATCCAATATTAGTTATTGAGTAAAGGTATGGGTAACTGGCTTTTCAATACAACAAATTACAGTACCTTGTTATAATTCTTAGCTAATCATCATCATTCTTGCCTTCATCCCAGATGAAAGGAGTCGGCACATGAAGTCTCTTTTTCCATTCTTTAGTATTACAGGCCACATCTCCAGTTTTATTTAATTTCGTATTACTTCATCCATGTTAGTTTTGTCCAGTCTCTTTATCTCTTACCTAATCTTTTTTTTACAGATATCGTATACGTATCATACTACTTTAGCTTGCTTTCTTTTATTTTATAAATAATTGCGCCACTCCGAATTAACAGTTCTTAACAAGGGTCATAAAAGCAATCAATCCCATATTGATTTATAAAGAAGGAACAGGAATTGGTCCAACAAAGTTTTGCATCTAATATGTTCCTCAGAATGTTCAAACAACTAAATGAATTTAATCAACAAAACAACTATTTTTTCCTAGATCTTTTCAACATATGTTCGAGTTTTTCCAAAAAAGTTGGGGACCAAATGTAGACATAATTATCTAGTAGGTAATTTTCAATAATTCTGCAACATAATTAAGCAATCAAAGTCCACAATTATAAAAAATGACTCAAAGAGGGACAAACATAGAACTTCATGAACTAATTTTCATAAGTTCCAGCTTTGATAGTAGGAATTTCAGTTTAACAAACCAATTATCCACAATATGCCACAAAAGCATAAAAGAGAAAACCATGCACCAAACATGATTTAGGTACCTAAAGACAGCATGAGTGGTGCATGCATACACTTCCCTGGCCCCCTCTTGATGTAATAAAGCAGCTCCTTTGGCAATAGTACCTAGAACCCACCAGCCAATCAGTAATTTTCATCCAAAACCAGGAATGACTAACTTGTTACATTTTGCAGGAGTAGGGAAAAATCATCCAAAACTATAGAAATAAATAGCACACATGATATTTGTGGCCCCAAAAGGTTACTGAATAAGCTCAGGAACTAGCAATCCATAAATTCAATTGTAGCATAAAACATGGCAACAAACTTTAAAAGATACCTTTCAAAAAAAAAAAAAATTAAAAGATCTGTAAGAAAAATGATTGACCAAGTCAGACAAATTAAAGACCAAGGCAAAGGAATAGTTACTGGAGAAATGCAGATGAATAATAATCTAAGGCCGTCTTCTGCTGCATGAAATTGGAGCCTTGGAATTGGAATTGGAGAAAATTTTGGTTCAATTTTGTGGGCTGCTTTTCTCCAATTCCACAAGTTCCAATTCCAAAGCTCCAATTCCATGCAACCGAACACAGCCTAAGAGGTTTCATAATTGAACTTATTAAATATAGAAATATATATATATAAATGACTGCTATATGCATATTTAGGCGTAAAATGCTTGTTAATCTGCCTAAAAGTGTTACCAAGGGCCACAATCAGCCAATCACTTCCAAGCCTATTAGTGCAGGCCAAAATTTGCAGAGGCTATACACAAGTCAACAATGAACAAATTATCTTCTTCTTTCTTTTTTTTTTCCCTTTTAAGGCAATGTTTGGTCGATGAGTACATAATCAGTCCAAAATTATAAATCCTGAATCACATTTTGGCTGTCTGCTGCTTGAGATCAAAGAGCAATTTGCTAAAACTCCAAACCACTCTTTTCCTTAGTCTATTTATAAACAAATATAGTTAAAAAGAATAATAATCAATTTTACTTTAAAAAAACAGTTTTATACACTTTATTCTTCTTTGTACTAAAATCTGCCTTTGACATTAAACTACTAAGGATATCTGTAGCTCACAACTTCACCATATTTTTGCAACATATTGAACTTAATTGAAGGGGGGAAACAAACTAAATTATCAATTTGGCAAAGAACCCCTATACTTCTGTAAAAACCTGAAAATTACCCCCTACCATTGATTTTCTGCAAAAAATGTCACTTGTACCTCACATGACATATTAATGTTATATTTTGATCAAATATGTACTTTTCAAGTCTTGACAAAAATATATGGGGGGATTATTTTTGGGACTTGAATAAGGCGAAATGGGTCAAATTATTTCAACAGCACATCATACGGTTTCAACTTAATTTTGGATAACTTTTCATTTCAAGATCAATTTTTACTCAATTTTTTATTACACGAGGCAGTTAGGTAATTTAATTACTATACAACAACTAAATGATGGAAGGGCGTTTATTTGCAAATCTTTTATGGTTCAGGTGGGTTTTTGAAGTTCAAAGGGAGTTTGAAAATGCGGAATAAAACTTACCAGCCGTGTCAATCATGTCATCCACCATAACTGCTACTTTTCCCTTAACGTCACCAATCAAATTCATCACCTGCATGATGATCACTTGTACATGAGGATTTGGAAGGCGATGCTTCAATGTGGAGTAATGAAGTACAATAAAATAGCACTACTACTACTATGATACCTAGAGTATAATTATAACACTGTATATCCAAAGAAAGCAGGCATGTCAGTTCCTCAAGTTTCTTTTCTTTTTTTTTTACACGCCCCCCGAGGGGGGGGGGTTGGTAAGTTCTTTGAGTTTGTCCAGTTCTAAGTAGGGCTGCAAGTTGGGCGGGTTAGCCCAGCCCAGCCCAACGCCAACCCAAAAATTTTGAAATTTGGACACATAATTCACAAATCGGGTTCATGCTCGGGTTGGGTTTTGTTAAAACCCAGACAATTCGGGTTGGGCTCGGACTCAACCCGAACCCAACCCAAAATTTTTTTTTTTTTTTTTTTTTTCTCTTTTCTCTCTCCTCCCCGAAATTTTTTTTCTCTCTCCTCTCTTCTTTCTTCTTTCTCTCTCTGCCCGAATTTTTTTTTTTTTTTTTCTCTTTTCTCTTCTTTCTCTCTCTTTCTCTCTCTCTCTCTCTCTGCCGCCGTCCTCAGCCGATCCACCGCCGCCGCCGTCACTTCCAAAAATAAAAACAAAACCCATACATACAAGTTAGCAGTTGCAGAGAGAGAGGGGGGCAAGCTTGAGACGGCTGAAGCTTGCGAACGGCCCGAACTGGAACAGCTGGCGATGGAAACTGAAACATATGGGTTTTGATTTTTTGAACAATCTGAAATGATCTGAAATATATGGGTTTTGAACTTTTGGTTCTTGCAAACAGATCTGAAATATATGGGTTTTGAACTTCTGATTCTTGTAGATTTTGTAGTTTAAAGTTGCAGAGAGAGAGAGAGAGAGAGAGAGAGAGTTGAGAATGAGACAGGGGAGGCTGAAATGATTTGCCCTAAATTTTTTTTGTTTTGTAATAATATATAGATATATCTATATATATATATATATATATATATATATAGATATATCTATATATATATATATATATATATATATATAGATATATATCATATATCTATATAATATATATATTTTCCAAAAATATATATATATAAATAAATTTTTTAAAACTCAAACCGTCAACCTGACCCGACCGGCCCAAAAAATTCGGGCTGGGTTTTGACTATAACCCATGTTAAGTATAATTCGGGTTGGCCCAACCCAACCCGATTCGGGTTGAGGTTGGGTTGGGACTGGACTGGGTTGGGCCAGCCCAACTTGCAACCCTAGTTCTAAGAACTATGAAGCAAGAGCTAGAGCCAGGACTGGAGGTATGCTCGCTATTCAGGAGAGAGAACGAGAGTACTACCCTTTACACTTTCAAGATTCTAAAAAAACAATAAATATAGTGTCATGATTCACAAGGGTCATTACCTAATGTGGTCCCTGCTAATCAAGGCCCAAGATAGGAATAATACTTATAATACTTGATGTTATTAGAAATGCCCAAAAAATATCATATTCGTAAAGCAGAAACATAGATGCACTCCTATGAATGTGAAAAATATACTGACGTAGTCTATTCAAATTGAAATTGTCAAGTTATCCATAATTGTTTAGTCAAAACAAAAAAGCATTTTGGTCGAACTCTCTAGTTTCGTTTGTTTACTGTGGGACATGTCTCGTTTCAAGATTGATCGACTGGAATCCCATTTTCATTACACTTATTTCGATTTTTTTTCCCGATATAATTAGTATTAGCATAAATATATATTACTCTTATACAAATAAAACTCTCTTGGTTTCACCTCATCTAGGATTCTTTCTAAAGAAAGGAATTCTAAATAGAATTCTTTTTTTTTTAGAAAGAATTTATAATTTTATTTATTATTATTATAAATTGAAATTCATTTTGGTTCTATTTATATAGAATGAATAGTCTAAAAGAAATAGAATCAAGAGGTCTTTTTGTCTCTTTTTCATAGTGATTTAGAATAGAGCAAATAGTCAGATGGAGGAGAATGTCTAGGAATTTCCATCTCAAGATTGAATATATTGGTGTTGATATAGTTTTTTTTATTAGAATCCAAGCGGAGGAGTTTATATTGATTGAATACGGAAAGAGAAGACTACTTGTTTTCTGCTTTGCTAGGTAAGGTATACAAAGAAAAAGAAAAAGCCAATTTGGCATTGTTTACAATGGAACTTTTTTATATTGTTTACCATGAAACTTACAAAATAAAATTGTTTTTCAAACTTTAGCTTGTGCACAAATATAGCAGGCCTTTCCTAGATCCATGTGAATTACTATTAGATTCAATTTGGGTTGGGTTAGATTGGAGTTTGCGTTGGGTTAGATTGGAGTTTTTAACCAGGCTCATGTCCTGATTTTAACTTCAAAAATTCATTAGGATTAGGTATACCAAAAAGAGGAGTATCAATAACTCTTTGATTGTGGACAGGAAAGGAGGAAAAATCATATGTAATTCACCTCCGAAGATTAATGAAGAAAGTTGGTGGTTTGTTTATTCGAGATTGGAAATATATTGATTGGATCCATTGAAATGCGTTTTTGCTTTCAGTTTTATGTTCTGCTCTAAACGATCCCCACGGGTGAGCTTATAGGGATGTTTTATTTCGATGAACTAACCGGACAATTAAAAACAACAATAAGGAAATAAAAATGATACAATTTTTTTTTTTTTTTTTTTTTTTTGAATTTTACATTTTTTTATTTTATAGGGCTATACGGACTTAAACCGTAGACCTTCTCGGTAAAACAAATCAAACTGATTATTATCAAAATGATACGAACTGTTTCAAAGACCCAACATGCATTTTTTTTTTTTTCATTGGGCTCTTTCAATAACTAATATAAATAAAATATCAGCTAGTCTACCATATTTTTTCTTCATAGAAAGATAAGGAGATGGCTCCATGTGCTCTGATTCATTATTTTGATTTTGATCTAGGAGCACTACCAAACTGTTTCAAAAAAGGGTTATCTTGACGTAGGTCTGCCTCTGGCCTAGATCAATCTAAGTTAAATGAAGTCTCTATCTCTCTGCTTAAAACTAAAATATGAAACTTCATACACCTTAAAGTTCATAGGACGAAAAGAGATTTTTTTGAGGTCCATGTACTCATTATCCCTAGCATTGAATAGACTGAGTATTCACCTTATCAATATCTCAAATAAATGATGAGTTCTATTTGACAACTAAATGGTCACCCGAATCAGACTGAACCATTTGTCAAGCTATTGTTCTCTTGTTCCCTCAAAGTTATGGAGTAAGACATCGATTTCTCAATAAGATCAATTCTTTTGATTGCATAATGGACTCCCCTGAAAAACATTGGTGCGCGTGTAAACGAGGTGCTCCACCTAACTAAGCTATAGCCCATAGTGTTTGTAATATATATTTTATCATGTAGATAATTTCTTGTCAAGATGAATATTCCATGATTCATCATCATAGCTGTTTGATATGTTTGATTGGTATTGCTTATAAGTAATATGATATTTATAATTCATCGATGCGATGGGTCCCATTTGGTTCTATTTGTAATGATAAATAACCTACTTAACTCAATGGTTAGAGTATTGCTTTCATACGGCGGGAGTCATTGGTTCAAATCCAATAGTAGGTAGAACTTATTAGATACCAGAGTCAATGTTATCTAATAAGTTTTTCCACCCACCTTTTATTGATTTTGTATCTTTTCTATTTCATTTTTGAGTTTTCCATTTTTTTTGTTGAATTCAAATCTGATTCCGCTTGATTGTATTCAATCGGCAGAACCAAATCAAAACATGGTGGATAAACGGAACTTATTTTTTGATTATTCGTACGCTGGTACTAGTTATGAAATCTACTCGTGTCCTAGCTCGTCTAAGAGCTAAATTTGCCTCAATCGTTTGTGTCTTGCCCTCGGCTTTCCTCAAATTAGCTTCCACTATTTCAAGAGTTTGTTGAGCTTCTTGGGGATCAATGTCACTACCCCTCTCCGCATCATTTACTAAAACAGTGATCTGCATATTTTAGCAAAACTGCACGTCAGAGCCATCGTTAACCATTGGTCATTAAGGAGTATTGTCAAAATACCTATATCTACAGCTATGGCAATAGGGGTGTGATTTGGTAATATGCCAATTTGACCACTATTAGTAGAGAAAATGATTTCTTTCACTTCTGAATCCCAAACAATTCGATTAGGGGTCAGTACACAAAGATTTAAGGTCATTTCTTCAAATTACTCTCCATTTCTAAGTTCATAGCCTTCGCGGTAGCTTCGTCGATGTTACCTACCAAATAAAAGGCCTGTTCGGGAAGACCGTCTAATTCTCTGGAAAGGATCAATTGAAACCCTCTAATTGTTTCTGCTAGACCAACACATTTCCCCCGTAAATACTTCTGCTACAAAAAAAAATTGTGATAAGAAGCGCTCAATTTTTCGTGCTCTTGCTACGGTTAAACAATCCTCTTCGGATAATTCGTCCAACCCAAGGATAGCTATAATGCCCTAAAGTTCTTGGTAACGTTGTAAAGGTTGCTCAACTCTTTGCGCAGTTTCATAATGTTCCTCACCATCAATTTGAGGCTGAAGCATAGTTGATGTTGAATCTAAAGGATTTACTGCTGGATAGATGCCTTTGGCAGCTAATCCTCTTGATAGTACATAGTGGCATCTAAATGTGCAAATGTTATAGCGGGAGCCGGTTCGGTCAAATCGCTTGCAGGTACATAAACTACTTGAATAGAAGTTATGGACCATTCTTTAGTAGAAGGAATCTATGTTACCCGGACTCAGGTACGAGTCAGACACGGGTATGTGTCTAGGAGTCGGATTCGTCAATTTATCAATTTAAAAGACACGGGTACTCGGCTAAAAAGTGTCCAATATTTAGACATGGGTACTTGGACACAACTAAGAAAAAAAAGAATTGTATGTGTTTTTATGGATGATACATCAGTTTTTTAATAAATAAATATGTTTGCTATAGTTTTGAGAGGAAAATTTATTTTATTATTGTAAATTTGTCTCATTTGCCAAGTCAATGAGGAAGAACTAAACCATTTTTACTGTATTTTTGTCTCATTTGCTATGTATGGTAAGATATATATTAGGTAAGATATAAAGTATTACTAAAGGTAAAGGTATAATACAGCTGTAAAGCATTAAACGTTTTCAAAAGGTCCAAAGTTTGATCCCTTGACATTCCGAGACAGGTGGCATCAACTGGGCCATTAAATACAAGCCATTAATAAATTGAGTGAAATCATGCTCCATCAGGCATAATTACAAGTACGTCTTGTTTATTAACATCTCAGAAATATTCTGCCATAGTTAGGGCAGTCAAACCAACTCTCATACGAGCTCCCTGCGGTTCATTCATCTGACCGTAAACTAGAGCTACTTTTGATTCCGCAATATTTTGTTCATTAATCACTCCGGATTCTTTCATTTCCATGTAAAGATCATTTCCTTCGCGAGTACATTAATCAATTCCATAATGAGTACTGTTTTACCCACTCCAACTCCTCCAAACAGTCCAATTTTTCCTCCACATCGATAAGGGGCTAAAAGATCTACTACTTTAATTCCTATTTCAAAAATAGATAATTTTGTATCTAACTGTATAAAGGCGAGCGCAGATCTATGAATAGGAGATGTTGTGCGGGTATCTAAAGGACCTAAATTATCAACGGGCTCTCCAAGCACATTGAAAATTCGTCCAAGAGTCATCCCACCAACCGGAACACTTAGAGGAGCTCCCATGTCAACCACTTCCAATCCTCTCATTAGACTAACCGTAGCACTCATAGCTACAGCTCTAACTCGATTGTTTCCTAATAATTGTTGTACCTCACAAGTCACATTAATTGGTTGACCGGCAGTATCTCGACCTTCAACTACCAAAGCGTTACAAATATTAGGCATCTTGCCTGGAAGAAAAGCTACATCTAGTACCGGACCAATGATTTGAGTGATATGACCCAGGTTTTTTTTTCAAGCGTGGAAATTCCAGGTTCAGAAGTAGTAGAATTTATTCTCATAATAATATTATAATAAATAAAAATATGTCGAAATTTGTTGCAAAAATTATAGAATTCAAAATCAATGTCCGATAGCGAGTTGATCGGTTAATTCAAAAAGAAATGGGAGTTAGCTCTTGATTTCGTTGGTACCATCCAACCGAATCCAATTCAATTGTTTACTTATTCAATGAATGAATGTGGTCCCTGCTAATCAGGGCCCAAGGGTGCTGGGAGGGGCAAATTGAGTACAAACCTAACATTTGGCATTATTTGCAGAAAGTGGCTACTCCATTTTCAAGTTTGATAGCTGGAGAATTTTACCACTGCATTAGGCAACGGCCCCTAAAAAATACTATCTTGTATAAATAACTAAAATCCAATATATATATATATATATATATATATATCTTGAATAAATAACTAAAATCCAAATAAAAAATAAAAATTCTAGCTGACAATATCAATTAATGTTTTGATGATTAAATATATATAGCAATTGAGATCTTTGCATCAAGATTTATCAATTGTTTATCAGTAACTAAAACTTTTGACATTTTAATATAGAATCGGAAAAGAAAAGATCTATTGATATCCACCGATATTAGAGATATTAATGGATGGACTGGCATCCGATCAGTATTAAGTAATTTGTTTGAATCAAAGTCAACATTTTGAATCTTTGATTGCCTAAAACATAGACAATTGACCAGTAACCATGGTAAACTTTTCCTAATTCTACCTAATGGTTTACTATAGAATTCAATGAAATTATCAAACCTTTTTTCTTCCCCTTAAACTGTACTTTGACCATAATGAAGTGTGCTGAAATAATCAAATATGAGTAGGGAACAATTCAATTAAATTTAGCCATCAGGCCCATCACAAAATTCATTTGAGTAACCTGACCTCTGCAACATTGTGTCCATGACGCCTTTTATCCACAATGGCCAAAGGTGCATCAGACAATTTTTTGGCAAAAGCGCGTGCTCTAGCAACTCCACCAACATCCGGTGAGACCACTACCAAATCATCAGAACAAATGGTCTTGCTGGCAAGGTAATCGAGTATCACAGGCTGGTGGTGCACAAACAAACAAAAATCAACCAATAAATGAACTGAATTAAATTCAGATATGTGAATGGTTAAGAAAATAATACATCTAAAAGGTATGAGTCCAATCATAATGGAAGGAGTAGAAACAACAATTTTGGACTCTTCAGCAGCGCCACACATCTGAATTCAAATTTTTTCATAGTGCCGTGTCAGCACCTTATAGTTTTGCTAGACACCAACTTTTTTTTCCCTAGATAACTAGAAAACTACTTCTCTATGTAAACTCACAGAAACAACAACAATAGGATGAGCTTATTACCTGACCATGTACATGATCCACTGGAATATCAAAATAACCCATAGACTGCCCAGAATGAAGATCACAAGCAAGAACACGGTCTGCACCTGCTTCAGTAATCAGATTTGCTACAAGTTTGGCCGCAATGGATTCACGCCCTTGAGTCTGAAACACAGCAAAATTCGAAGAGAATAAAAATTGAGTTTGATATAAACATCCTATGCTTACTGGAATATATAAAAACATCTAAACCACATCAGTTCAATTATATGAATCTTCGTTTGCAACTCTTCTCAGCCTAGAACAGAATTTTCAACAGCAAACATATGGAAATATGACTGATGAGCGAAGGCTCCTAAATTCTGAATGATCTATGCATTGAGAAATCCTACCAGGCTACTTGTCATACATATATATATATATATATTATCTTACCAAGTTTTCTGTTTTCTTCTTGAAAGCTGAATTCCTCCTCCTTTTTTTTTCATTAAAATTCTTTCTATCAAGTTTAATATTTAGCTCACAAAAAAAACATAACCAGATATATAAAGAACTCTATATTACAAAAATACAATAAATTTCAAACACTAGCCAATTAGTCAAAAGAATTCCATAAGGCAATATAGCCAGATGTGGGTTCACCAGTCCTTGAACTGCAAGGTAAGAAGAATCTAACTGTACTTGTGAACACAACTGTGAAGCAAATTACAAACCAAAAGTATGATTTTAAAACCTCAATTATCCTAAAGTCCATGCCCAAAAAATAGAGGGGGAAAAAACGAAAGAAAACTCCTACTGTGCACTTTTGTCACCTCAATTTGGTTTTATGGCAATAATTTCAGACTCTGATATTCAACCTGTATGCGATGAGTTCACTTACAACACCAAGTTAAATTGATCAGTCACACATATACAAATAGAGAATCATTGCAGTAATAATTATAACCCATGCACACTCATAATACCCCAATTTACAACACAGGAAAATGCCAAAGTCCAGATTAACAAAAGCCAACAACACTCATTCATCTGGTGTTCAGTTTATCACCTCAATTTCGTGTTTGGGCATAAATGTCAAAACAATCATATGAAAGTTCTATATTTACCAAAGATAGAGTTACCTTTCGATCAGCCCTAGCATATCCAAAATATGGAATAACTGCAGTAATATTTTTAGCCGACGCCCTCCGACAAGCATCTATCATGATCAAAAGCTCCATAAGATTCTCATTTGCAGGAGGACATGTGGGTTGCACAAGAAAAACATCGCACCCTCTAACACTCTCTTTCAACTGGACATATATTTCCCCATCGGCAAAACGTTTTATATTTATCTTTCCGAGCTCCAGACCCATGTAGCATGCAATTTCCTGTTTAAAAAACAAAAACAAAACAGATGCACCAATAATGATGCAACATTTTTCCTTTTTGACAGATAAAATATACTAAAGGGCACCAAGGGGGTCCAACCCTTGTACATCAGCAACAATGTACATTTCAAGTTTTAAATTTACAATCATCATACAAGTCAAAGACAAGGAAAAATGAGAAATGAAAAAAGGAGAATTATTCATTATTCAAAACGAATGCAATTGCCAAAAATCATCAAACAAGTGAAGTTGGAAGCAAACTGATGACATCGACATTGTTTTATACAAATATAACCATTTGCTAAGTGTAAAAGAAAATTAAAAGCGACCACTTAAAACAAAAGAATTATAAGTGTGACAACCAATATCATCATTAAAAGAAATAGGGAAAGTCAAATTTCAGTTGTTATCAAAATATTAAACAAGTCTATGGGAAGTCAGAAGCATTCATCCAATGGACCAATACAATGATTGTCTTGTGTCCATGAAGAAAAAAAATAATAAGCCATTTTGAAAATACTTGTCAGCATCATTTAAGTAATTAACCCTTAGCAACCTCATGGTGCTCTTAATTATAAATATAGTACTTCAGATGGCTAACCATACGGATGCGGCCAATTAAATTGATCTAAGAAATGGCACAACTAAAGTCTAAAGTCTAACATACTACTACCAACAGCCATCTTACAAGCCCAAGTCCTCATACGGTGGAAAATTCTTCTTTCGCACAATTGGCTATACAATAACTGTAGCTATTGTCCAGGTCAGGAGGAAAAAAAATCATATGCACATATATCACACAAACATACATATATACACCATTTTTTTCAAAAGGAAAATTCATGAACAATTTCAGAGATTATAAGCTGACGAAATCAGAATACTAAAAACCAACACAATAAACACCATATGCCTTCATGATTTCAGTAAAAGAATATATCAATAGTGGAGAGCAAATTAAAAGCAACATATCATATTGGGCATGTTTGGTACGCGTTTTGTTTTTGGTGTTTTTGTTTTTGTCGAGTACTGTAGCGATGAACAGTGAAAAAACATGTTTAGTAAAAAGAAAAAATGTTTTGTTTTGCACAGTGCTGAAGCGTTTCGTGAATAGTGGCCAAAAATCGAAACAACAATTTGGTGTTTTTACATGTTTCAGTACTGTAGCAATGGTACTGTAGTGATGAACAGTACAAATAAAAAATAATAAAATTTGAAAAACTCTTAAATAACATTTTTAAACTAACCATTATATTTTTCAAATTTGCAACACTTTATTACCAAACATGTTTTCATGTTTTTGCTTCCAAAAATCTTGCAACAAATGGACGTTACCAAATATGCTTTCGATCACTATTAAAAACACTTGTTTTGTGCCAAAAACAAAACGTGAACCAAACAGAGCCATCATACGTGGCTTATTATCACAAGAATCGGTGACTCCCCGAATTTACTGCCTCTTGTTCACACTCATGGTGGTTTCGCCCACCTTTCACGAACTTATGTGAATGATGGCCAGCTCTACGAAATCCGATCTTTTGGGCCAGGCCTGGGATACTTTATAAGAGAAGATCGATCTCACAACCACAATTTCTATGTCTCTTTAATCATGTTCTTCAATTGATATTGATGTAAATGCCACAAAGATTTTCAACATTGCTAAGTCTTGCAAGGCATACTCTTCATGCATCATTACAAATAAAAGACAATAACCATTGTCACTTATCTATATTAGGTATTGATTTCTAAAATATAAAGAAGAATCCTTGCCAGACCCCTATCACTTAGCCCAAAACTCCAGGGTGATTCTAGAACCAAATTCCTGATTTTCCATGTAGTTGTAGAGAAACAAACAAGACTAACCACTTTAAACACATAGTAGTCATAAATGTTTAGCATGAAATATTTAGGTATGTAGAATTGTAAAATAGGTTGAAACTTATACAGGGCCATGATGAGGTTCTACCTAATATATTCATAAAGTTTGACCCAAAAAGGGGAGAAAATATGTGAATCATGCATCCACCAAGAAAGGAATGAGGGCACTAGAGCAGAGACAGTTAAGATACACCACAACTCAACCCAACAAAGTCTTGCCCACCAATAAATATAGCACAGATTAGAAAAATATATAAATACAAAACTAATGTCTATGTATACCTGAGAAAGTGCAGGATTAGCAGTACCAGAAAATATTCGAAGTCTAGTATCATTTTTGTTAATTGCATATCTTTCTGACTGATTAGAAGACAAAAAACTAGGCAATGATGATTGTTCACTGCTGAAGACCGGAATGCATGGCTTCCCGTTGTCCTTAAACTTCAAGGGCTCAACCAGATTACACCTCTATAAAAAAACAACAGAAACACACCCATTATCAATGACAACATAACTAGAGTTTATATCTATACTGCTATAGAAGGTGAAGATGACCTATAGTAGACCTTGGTCCTAAGTGCCTCTTAGGTATTGCAAAGTGCATGTTCAGAAGATGATGTAAATGTTGAACTGACACAGCCCGACAAAAACAACTACAATTTGGTACCAAACCAAAACAAAAAAATAATAGTTCTCTAAGGGCAATAACAATATATTAATCATGACATAAAATAAAATAAAAATGTCTTCTTTATAATAGCCACCAAATGCGGTTTAATTAAAATGATTTTCTTTACATATATGCTTAAACAATTATATGTCCACTTAAAATCAGGTATTTGAATGTTTAGTTTCTTATTTCAATTCTACACATTTTCACATGTTCAGATATTGGTGACTCTGAGATAAACCGATAACAATAAAAGGTATCTCACTCACTATAATGCACTTATTTCTATTCTCCACCAGTATGAATCTCCACATCCTCAAAGTGCACCTATTCCGCACCAACCACACTCCTGTATGTGAGATATAGACGCAACACTTACCACACCAAACAAAGAGAGATTTCATACACCATAACTCTCCAACAACCTCGCAATGAATAAAAAGTGGTTGATAGGTAAATTCTGAATTAATGATTTCGCTCATTCTCTTCTTCTCTTTCCCATTTGTTTTAATGTTGACTGCAATATAATGTCAAATGAAATATATCACTCAAACGCATCATGTGTGCCCATCTTCTAGTGTGTGGAGCATCATGCACACTAATTTTCTAGTGCATGGCATCACGCGTGCTCATTTTCTAGTGTATGGCATCATGTGCACTCATCTTTTAGTGTATAGAATCACATACGAAGATATGCCCATCCTCTAGTATATATCAGTGCCACTTAGATATGTCATGCACATGGATCGTACTTACCCACATATATCACATCATGTGCGACCATCTTCTAGTAATTTTAATGTCATTTACATACATTGTGCTCGTGCATGTTTCATTGTGCCAGCATAATATAAGTGTATGGAAGTGATATATGTACTTGACATTAGTATTGTAGTTAATATTAACAGGATGATGAGAAAGAGAGTGAGATGATCAATTTAAAACTCAAAATATCAATTTTTAAGCAAACAAAAAGCATTGACAATGCAGGAATGCCAACCATAAAAGTATTTACTCAAAGATATTGCCAAGCGTCCATAATGGTAATCTTTGCCAACCCAATTTCCTCTTCTTCTTCTTTCCTACTAAATTTGAAGGGTTGAAAAACTTGGAAAGTTAACGCACGAGTATGGATGGGGAGGGATTTATTAAACGTTCTTGATAGAGAGAGATTTTGTATGAGTTGAAATGAATTCGACATACAACCCACAAAAATTAGACGTACATGCAATTTAGATTTCTAGCCCTAGAGCTATGATATAAGAAATTGGGTCGTCTATTCGAACACTATTACCCATCTATCGGTCCATATACATATACATGCATATGTACTGGCCGAAAAACTTAAATATGCATCCATAACCAATCTAAACATTACTCTTCACAATGCACGTATAGTTAACCGACCCTTTGAAAAAACAACTAAAATTAGAAAATGTGAACGCAATTTGAAAGAGCTTCGCAATTGAACTGGAACAACAAGACGAAGAATTAAAGAAGTACTCACCACGACGCCGTCTCTTTTGGGGAAACGACAGCGAAACTTTTTTGTTGCAACGAGATTTCCAGATAAGGTCAGAGAGGCCATTGATCTTTCGTATGAATGAATTACTGGATTTTCAGAAGAAACGAGCGATCGAACGAGTGGGTGGAAATTAGGGTTAGGGTTTCAAGATTCTCCTGCCGCCAGCATTTGAACTCCCACCGGGAAATGATACTCAGAAGTAGAACAGTGTCTTCAACAATTCTTGTTACCATAAATATCTTAGTTGATGGATAATAAATGGTTTGTTTTTTCCTTGTCTGTTTCTCTTTTTCTTGATTTATATTCTAATACGCGTCCATTGGGAAATAAGAGCGGAAAAGAAAGCACTAGTATAAAAAAAAAAAGAAAAAAAGAATGAACGTTTATTTTTTTTAAAAAAATATAATAATAATAATTCATCTTGTACATATATATGTATGTATATAATATTAACGTTTCTTTTTAAATTTTAACCAAAAAAAACAAAAGTTTCTTTTTAAAGCAAGCCAAACAGCATTCATTCAACTATCAAAAACAATATTATTTGTAATAAAGATTCCTCTTCCCAAATATATTGAAGAAAAAAATAAATAAAAGAATAAATAGTATTATTTAGTGGGGTGGGATATTAGAAAGTGAAAATCACGTGGATATAATAGGTGGCTGAATTATTTGCCAGACAAGAAAATAAAAAAGACTTTGACAACGACTAAACTCTTTAATATTTTCTTTCTAAATATTTGTGACTTTGAAAGATTATCCTTAAATAGTTTTGACTTAGGTTTCTTTCCGACAAAAAAAATAAATAAAAATTCAGTTTCCTTTTTTTCATTTATTTTCTTTTCTCTCAATCTCTTGCAATTTAAATGTAAGTTAGAGTTGCAAATACATTCTCCAACTGAACTAAACAAGAAGTTTGTGTTTTTTTTTTTTTTTTTTTCTATTTATTAGCAAACAAACTTTGTTTAAAAAATATATATATTATAAGTTTATTTTGTTTATTTGGATGTAAAATATATATTTTTTATTTTTTATATTTTGTTGTCTAAAATTTAAGTAAAATATTTTATTTAAATTTAACAAAAATAACTAAGAAGAAAAAATTTAAGACCTTTGTCAAGTACCGAAAAATATATATATCTGAAATTTTTTATATAAAAAATCTTTTAGGAATAATAAAATAATAAATAGTAGGAGTATTATTTAGTGGGTGGGATATTACAAAGTGAAAATCGCGTGGATATAATAGGTGGCTAAATTATTTGCCAGACAATAAAATAAAGACAGACTGTGACAACGGCTAACTCTTCTATATTTTCTTTCTAAATACTTGTGGCTTTGAAAGATTTTCCTTAAATAGTGTTGAAGTGATTTAGGTTTCTTTCCGACACAAAAAATATATATATATAAAATAATAAAAATAAATAAATCTGTTTATTTTTCTTCATTTGTTTTTATTTCTCTCAATCTCTTGCAATTTAAATGTAAGTTAGAGTTGTAAATACATTCTTGAACGGAACTAAAAAAGAAGTTTAGTTTTTGTCTATTTATTACCAAACAATATATATATATATATATATATTTATATTTATATTTATGTTTGGTTGTCTAAAATTTAAGTAAAATGTTTTATTTAAATCTAACAAAAATACCTAAGGAGAAAGTTTTAAAAATCTTTATCAAGTATCAAAAAATATATATACATATATGTGTGTGTGTGTGTGTGTTTTACCTAAATTATTTTTATATAAAACATCTTTTCGGAATAAGAAATCTAAACTCAACCAATATATCATAACTCATCAAACATTTATAAAAATACATTCCATCCCAACTCATTTTTTAAAATAAAATCCAAGTAATCATGTAACACACTAATCGTTTTCATTTCCTCAGCAAAAACATAAAATTATAGTACAAATAAGTTGAGTCCAAGCTTGAATTATTGTGTTTCAGGTCAAACTCCAGCTTAAATCATTTTAATTTCCAGCTCAAATTTAAAGGTTGAGATCAAATTTGACAAAGAGAAAAAATATATTATATAAGTTGAAATCATTCTTAACGATAAAATGCAAAAAAAATTCGAACAATTAGTCAATTGCAACCCCATAACTACACCCAAAAAAATAATAATTAAAAAAAATAAAAAAGAAAGAAAAAAAAAACTTAAATTATGTTATTTTGTTGCAAAATACTCATTTATATAAGGGTGCATTTAAAGTCTACGGAATCGGTATTGCCATCCTTTTTCTAATGTAGCACCAATTTCAATCAATATCGAAAATAAGTGCTACATAATTTCTTTATTGTGCTACTTGTTTGGTGTTGTAGAATGATGCCTCGTTCAATAGAAAATTATTCAAAATAGTATATTTATCTCCATTACGTAATTCAGCCTTCGGGTTAGAAACTAAAAATCAAAAGAAATGCAAATTTGAAGTTAGTTTCTAATAATTTTGAGGAACTGGTTAGCTATCCAATAACAAGTAATTGTATATATATAATTGTAATTACTATTCGTGATGCATTGTTGTATTAGATCGAGATCCAAATGTTCGTTCTCGATCTAACTACAAGCCTGGGGTTTTATAACATGGAAATATAAGGTAATGTGGAACCTATAGAAAAAAAATATAATAAGAAGTACTAGTCTTATAATCTAATTGGACCAAAATAAAGATTTTAATTTTTTGAGCTAGTGTGATTATTTTTTTCTTCTCATTCACTTAAGATATTATGTGAATGACCCCACTAGTGAATATAATAGGTTAGAATGAAAGAAAAGAAAAACATTTTATAAGGTCACGATTCGTTCTAAAATATAAAATAGGTTCAATATAATTAAAAAATGATTTTTTTTTAAAATTTATTTATCAAAATAGAAATAATTTTCCAATTTTAATCCAGATTCAAAATGATTGATGAGAATATGTTTATGGTTAAACCACCACGCGGCAGTCACGTGACCCACCAGGGTACAAAATCAATCAACTTCACACCTAAATCACAAGAAAAACACAATGGAATTCAACTATTCATGCAAGAAAAGAAAAAAGGACGCACGGTTATGTGTGCCAATATGTCGGTAGACTGAAAAATTAGGGTTTTATTGCATTTTACCCTAATTCTAAAAAAAATAAAGTCGTTTTCATAAATTTGTTCGCAGAGTATAAAATTTTAGGTCGAGGTATTAAACCACGCGGGCCTCACTCAGAGTCAGAACCGGACCATTTAACACTTGGAGCCTTTCGGCCCTATCGGTATAGCCCCAGCCGCGACCCCTCCCTCCATAGTTGCACGCACATTATCACTGCACAGCCGCCGTGGAGTAACCGCCAAAACCACTCATCCCCTTCCTCAGTTTCTCCTGTTTCTCTAATCGACGCCTAGCCTAGCATCGTTTCGTCACCGTTGAGCGACTCCGATAATCACTTCCTCTTTCCGGTGACTCTTATATACACTTCCTTCACTATCTTTCGACGTACACGAGAGTGATTGATCGAATGTGCCTCAAAGCCCTACATCATTTTCTCACTCTTTTTGAAGATACGCGGTGAATTGAGGGGATTAAAGGTCATACAAAGTTGATATTTCGAAGGTAAGAAAACTACTTTCGATCTGCAACATGAAAACAGGGTTCGTGTTTCCCAAAGCTGGTGGATTTGAATACTCTACAACTGTTTTTTTCTTTTTCTATTTTTTTTAATAAATATTTTTAAATGAAAAATGTAAAAACTCATATATTTCAATTTATAGGATTTTTGCTCTGTGCTCAAAATTATATGGAGCTTATTTATGTATTAACTAATGTATTTGTTTTATTAAATTTTGCTTTGTGGTTGTGGTAATTGAATATTAGGAGAAGATGATAGTATAAAAATGTGAAATTACTGCTACTTGAACTGTGTTGATTGGTTTGGTTGATATTTTTATTTATTTTTAAATACTTATTATGATTTGGAGATTAAAGCTGGTAGTTTGGTTTTCTTTGACAATCTTGATTTTGAACTCACGCTTGAGTCTAATCTTATTATTGAGGTCGAGCTCACCAAATTAAACCAGGTAACATGCTGATCTTGATCTTTCTCAATTATAGGCTAGCCGAGTTCAAACGACCTTGTTGCATGGTCGAGATGAGCTCAAACAGGCCCCTAGTAGTCTCAGCTTGTATGCAGCCGTAATTGCAGTGTAAGGGCCTGAGCTAGTTTAATGCAACCAAATAGTCAATTAGTCTGAGCACTCTGGGTTTTGATTATTTTGGCTATATGTCATTAACTCAAATTTTAATAATTGGCTCAAACATGAAATGTGAACTCTACAGCAAGTTGATACTAAAGACATGAAGTGTTAACTTAATAGTAAATGCTTAATTTACACCATCATTGTAGTAATATGTTTTCAAATGTATAATTTATAATTGGTAGAAGTTACTTGAAACAGTGCCTTCTTTTCCTTTCTCTTACATTCTTCTTAATGATCTATTAAGAAAAATAGAATTTGAAAAAAGAAAAGATTGTAACATGATTTAGTTCTTCAAACTTTGTTTTATTTTTGTTTAATTCCTTGCATGAAGTCAAGAAAGCCTGCTTCCTAATCTACTTCTAATCTACTTCTCAGTAGCAGATAATTCATTTAATTAAATATTGAACCCTTCAAAAGTTGTCCCTTTCCATATACTTATAAAAAATAAAAATAAAAAATAAAAAAGTTGTCCCTTTCCATATAAAACCCTTCAAAAGTTCGAAGTTTCTTCTGTATATTCATCCACCCAACAAGTGGAAATGCTACTCAAAAGAGAGTGTCTCATATATTTGTGTACATGTATAAGAAACATAAAAATAAAATAAAGAAGGGGTAAAATCATAAAACACAGACGGTCCCTCACTCGTCTCTCATTATTACAACACAACCTCCGTCCCCTGCTTCACCTATTACTCTCTCTCTCTCTAAACACTTCTGTTTCTCTCTCCAAAACCAGCAGTTAGCATTTCCATTCCGCCTCCTTCAGACGCCCAGTAGATTTGCCGTTGAAGCTTCAATCAACACAGGAAGAGAGTTTATATCAAAAGCCTCTATTGAGTCTTCGAATTCTGAGGTTTGTATTTTCTCTCTCCACATGCCTCATCATCTCTCTCTCTAGATCTTTATGTTTGTTTCCTTTGATTGCAAGAGAAAGTTTTATACTTTTATTGAAAAAAGTATAAATCTTGCATTGGGAAGTGTTATCTGCTTTATATCTCTCGAGTCTTAGATAACTTATCTGTTTTCTGATGAATTGTTTTCAAATTAACAAAAAAATTGTCTGTTGTTTCAAGACTGTTGATGGCTATAGCTACCTCCTTTGTCTTTGTGAAATCTTTAATTTGTTGGGTTGATCGAATTGAAAACTCTGCCATTGAGGTTGAGGTTTTAATTTCCTCCCCCAAAATTACCCTTTCTTTGTTTTCCAGATCTACTATGAATTATTTTTTTCCCCTGAAAATTTTCTGAATTATATTTTGGGCTTCATTGAAATAATATCTCCTTATCCTTTTATTAATGGACATAACTAGAACAACCCACAGAAATACATTCACCTTTTAAAAAATATGTATATAACCCCATTTACTAAGTAAACCTCACGAAACCCCCTTAACTGTTCAAAAAGTCATCAAGTCACCCCCATATAGTTATTCTGCCGTCAGACACTAAGGGGAAAGGAGCACATGACCATGTGCTCCTGCTTACTCTTTTGTGACCAAAATGCCCCTTACATACATACAGCCAAAGCCAAAGACATTAAACTTGGTCATGTGGTTGTCTTCTTCTTTTCACGTGGGCATATCTGGTACTGGCAAAACCCTATCGAAGGTACTCAATCCTCAGAAGGTACTCCATAGTCCATCCTCAAGCCAGAGACATAATCGAAGGCCCATAGCTACCGATACTCAAGCTTTAACCGAAGAGAATCCGCAGTGCTCAAGCCATAGCTAATCAGGTGTTGCAGAAAGTAAAATGAAACGAGGGAGAGTGAAAGATCCAAATATATTAGGAAGTTTTAATTTCGGAATTGAAAGTAGGATTAAAAAATTCAAGCTGTTTACAACAACAAATTGCATATTCAGTAACAAAATTGTTGCTTTTACATCTAAAATATTTCAACCTGAGCACAATTAACATCTTCCAACCTTAGAAAAGGAAAAAAAACAAAGAAAAAAGGGTACTTGTGTAGCATAATTCAATTACTCGTATGAATAATGCGGGAAAACCCTAAAAAAAGCATAATTATGGAGAAAACAGTGAATTTCATACCAACAGATACAATCCGACACAATAGCGTGTAGCTCCCGGCACCCATTGCCTCTGTCCGCGGCGTTGCTGAATCGGGTCCAACTCCAGCTATCCAAGTGGGTAGTACGAAGGCATGACGTGAAACTTCAACACCACCGCTTTCTTGTCTGCTGGCAAGGATTGGAACATGGTGGTCGCCGGAAGATCCAAGAATGCGTCGTTGGTGGGGATGAACAGGGTAATTCTGGCGCCGCCTTCATGGGTTTCGAATTCTTCGGCGACGCCCAAAGCTGCCAACATCAATGCGGCGATGTTGAAGTTGTGGCCATGAGGACTTTGGTGATGTTGGGACCCAATGGGGGTCGAGTTTCCGAGGCCACGAGATCAAACCCAAATGGGACTTAATTTATTACTTCAACAGTGAAACTAATTGTAACTTGAGATGAAAACAAAAGTTATATCAATCTATCATATGGATATTGTTGATGGGTATTTAAAGTCAAAGTGGAAGACATTTCTTGAAGTTGCTTACACATATATACAATACGCACACATACATACAGAGACATATATCTACAAGATTTTTGTCCTCAAATGAAGATAGAATTTTCAGTAATGAAGTTTCACAAACAATTGACTGCAAAACACTTGGTGAAACAACTTAGCTTTAAGTTCTATTGTTGTACGGCTGTACAAGTAAGAAGATGCTCACGTTGAAGGGAAGGGTTTTGATGAGAGAGTGTGGTGGTGTTGGAGGGGGAGTGGACAGAGACACCATGGTAATTAAATTCATAATTTTAAAATAATAATTATCAGTAGTTAAATATATTAAATAGTAAGGTCATTATGTCATTTCACAACTCAGCTAACGGTTCTGTTACGGGATGAGGGTAATATGATCAATTTTGTTAGTTCTAGGGGTTATTTAATTATGTTGGGGGTTGGTTATATGACTATTTTTAATAGTACATGAGAGTTTTATGATTTTACCCCAAAAAAATAATAAGATAGATTATTTGTGAATTACTTAATCATGTATAATCCCTCTCATTGCTTGTAGATGGCCAGATGGGATGAGATTCTGTCCCTTCCTGTACAGAATCCTCCAACCTTGGAGTTTTCTTCTGCTGATATTGTGTGGTCTAAGGTGGAAGGTTGGCGCGACAATATAGATAGAGTTGCTTTGATACCCTTTGCCAGAGTGGACGATTTTTTAAGGGGTGAATCCGCAAATAAAGACTGCCCAACAAGATTTCACGTGGAAGCCAGGAGGCGGAGGCCTCCGGAGATGGCTTACAAGCCAAAGGTTGATGGTATACTTGAATATATCCTGTAAGTTTTCAATTTTTATTTTCAAAATTCTTAAAAATGTTTCATATCCTTTAAATTTTAAGTGATCCTATTGAAATGTGTAGGTATTGGTGTTCCTTTGGCCCGGATGACCACAGAAAGGGTGGCATTGTCAGACCAAGCAGGAGTACTTATGTCCCGAAAAAAAAAACTGCAGGTCGTCCAAATACAAAGAGAGGTTGCACCTGCCACTTTATTGTGAAACGTTTAATTGCAGAGCCATCAGTAGCTCTTATCATATATAATCAGGATAAGCACGTAGATAAGAAAGGCTTGCCATGCCATGGTCCGCAGGACAAGAAGGCAGCTGGAACGCGTGCTATGTATGCCCCATATATCTCAGAGGATCTCCGCCTCCGCGTCTTATCTCTATTGTATGTTGGTGTTTCCGTGGAAACCATAATGCAAAGACACAACGAATCAGTGGAGAGACAAGGGGGGCCATGTAACCGTGATGACCTTTTAACCCACCGGTACGTCCGGAGGCAGGAGAGGAGCATCCGGCGTTCTACTTATGAATTGGATGCAGATGATGCAGTCAGTGTCAGCATGTGGGTTGAAAGCCACCAGAGTCATGTTTTCTTCTACGAAGATTTCTCTGATTCTGACCCATTCGTCTTAGGTATTCAAACGGAGTGGCAGTTGCAACAAATGATTCGATTTGGCAACCGCAGCCTCGTGGCTTCTGATTCAAGGTTTGGAACAAATAAATTGAAGGTTTGTTTTATCAGTTTGTAAGTTCTACTCTTTCTTCTTCCTCCCTTTCAATTTACGAGGCAGTTTTAATCCATTAGAATCTTATGGTGCTCTTATCTGCAATTTCATATAGTATCCTGTTCTCAGTCTTGTTGTGTTCAACTTGGACAACAAGGCCATCCCAGTAGCATGGATAATAGCACCGAAATTTACAAGCATAGATGGGAATAGATGGATGAGGGCCCTTTACAATCGAGTTCGGTCTAAAGACCCTACATGGAAATTGGCTGGATTCATAGTAGATGACCCTTTGTCTGATGTGCTCACAATCAGGTTGGCTGCTAAGTTCTTCACTCTGATTTATTAGATATGGTTAGATACTTTAAAGATAATTTATTTACAATTCCTGGGTTATAGTCTAAAAGGATGCAATCCGCACCTGATAGCCGCCTACTTCATTAATAGGTCACGTTGAGTAGCGTGTGCATCCGAGTTTTTGACCTGTGTCAAGTAATTGAGTGGGGTTGGTTTCATGAAATCATATCCAATTACCAACAGACCAGTGGCCTAGCTGTATCAAGCCCCTACTTCTCAAAGAGAGGTCAAGGGTTCGAGCCTCAGTGGAGGCATGTGTGTGTGAGTACTAACTAGGAAAAAAAAAAAAAAAATCATATCCAATATACCTCAACATGTACTTCCATTATGGACCACTTGACACCTGTAACCCGTAACAGTCCCTTTGTGCGTGCTTAATTCTGAGCAGAGTTGCTCATCAATTTTGATTGTACTGCTGATGCACCACCTCTCGTATTGTTTGTGGCCAAACAGTTGTTTCTATGATGTGATGCTAACCATCTAAAGAATAGAACTTCAATGTATAGCATTGTTCATGGAAAATGTCCAAGAACAAGCTGAATGGTATGCAGTTCTGTTTTTTGGTTTACATCTGGTCCAAGAGGTGGCATCAGCTGGTTCAGATCAATCGGCATACAATTGATTGTAACATAGCAGGCTATTGTAGAATGTGCAGCTAAAACATCCACTTTGTTTTTCTACCGAATATTACTTGGATGAATTGGTGTGGTAAATCTTTGTCTATATGTTACTCAGGGAAGTGTTTCAATGCTCTGTATTGGTATGCTTTTGGCGGGTTCGTCATGCATGGCACAAAAACTTAGTAGAGAGATGTTCAGAAATCGAGATGCGTGTCGAGATATCAAGACGGCTTGGTCAAGCAGTGTATAACATCTGCAGAGGAAATGGAACTGTTGATTTGTTTGAGGATTTTATGGAAGATTTCATCGATGCCTCAGATTTTATGGATTACTTTAAAGCGGTTTGGTATCCTAAATTAGGTTAGACACTATCTTTTAACATAGCGAATATTTTTTAAATGAACTAATTTGGTAGCATTTGTATCTCTCATTCCAACTTATCAGCATCTTCTGCCACCATTGATTGAGATCACTAAATTAGTGAGAACACTTGTTGGATGGACCACAATGCCAAAAAAGTGCTTTTGATTTCCTGGTGAGCTGAATCAAATTAAAAAAATGTAGTGTTAATTTGATTAGGTTGTTGCTTCTAGCTTGTTTATGGAGAGTATGGTCTACCCTGAGAAGCTGGCTCACTAATTGGGTGGGCAAGCTTCATTGTGCAAGCCTGTAAGAGATCATGTTAATTTCCTGGATGAATGATACACAGTGTTACTACTAATTTATTATAGCTTGAAGTCCAGTGTTTTTTTCTCTTTTTCCTTTATTTTATTTTTCCTCACTTCTGCCTTATGCGAGAGCCACCTCTCTCTCTCTCTCTCTCTCTCCAGGGTTCTGGACTACTGCGCTTAAATCACTTCCACTTGCCAGCCAGGAGACTTGTGCAGCAATGGAGTTTTATCATAACCAACTGAAGCTAAGGTTGTTAAATGAGAAGGACTCTACGGTTTATCAACGGGCTGATTGGTTGGTTGATAAGTTGGGTACTAAAGTGCATTCCTACTTCTGGCTTGACGAGTATTCAGGTAAGGATGATTTCACACGATACTGGAAAGATGAATGGTTGAGTGGGTTAACATCTTGGCGCAAATCATTGAAGATTTCAGACTCTGATGTTGTCATGGAGGGTAAATGTGCAAAAGTTATTGACCCGGAAGATCGAAACCGAGCTCATGTTATTTGGAACCCAGGGTCAGAATTTGCAATCTGTGATTGCAGTTGGGCGGAAATGGGTAACCTGTGTGAGCATGTATTCAAAAGTATTAAAGTTTGTCGTGATAAAGGGTGTAGTTTGCCGTCTACCTCTATGTTTCAGTATCACCAGGCTTTGGTTAAGATGCTACACTGCCCACCTTATGACTCTTTGATTTGCGATCATGCTGTTTCTCTAGCAATTTGGGTTCAGATGCAGTTAAATGCACAAGTTGATCTTGATAACAACCACACTAATGTGGATCCTGCTGAGCAACAAATTGTAGGGCCAGCAGTTTTACCTAGTCAAGATAGAGATGCAGTAAATGAAAACCGCGGTGATAAAGAGAACGTATCCCATACCGAGAATGGTTCTCCAAACAGTATTATGAGTGATACCGAGAATGGTTCTCCAAACTGTATTATGAGTGATTTGGGTGGTGACTTGATTAATCAGTGTGACTCTTTCACTGAGATGGAAGTTGATCCATCATCCATCTATACCTCTGCATCCAGATTATTTTCTATTGATGGGGTTCTATCTGCTGATGTCACAGAGAATGGGGAGAGTGTTCTGATTGATGCAGGCATAGACATAACCAAGAATCTTCCTTCTGCAGATGAATCATTTGAAAATCTAAATGGTTTTGATGATGAAATCATGGAGAAAGACACTGGTGAAAACATGGTGGATGTGGATTTGGTGCCACAGTCTAAACATGTCCCTCTGTCAACAACGGAGTCTCTAGAGCAATGCACGAGGGTCCGTCAGAATGATGTTTGCAGCAATGATGCAGAACCATCTGCAATTCCTTATGTAGAAAATATTGATCCCAAAAGCAATAATATTTCCCCGCATGTACGCATGCCCGTCGGTCCCTTGCTTGTTGATATGGTTGAAGCTTCACGTGTAAACAAAGAGAGTGGAGGGACAGATTTGCAAAGTGAGAATGGATGTACAATTGAAAAGCTCTCCCCAAAAGATGACCATGTTTCCTCAGAAAGGGTTCAAGATAACATGGTAGAAGATTCTAATCTTTGTGATGTTGCCAATAGAGATGGCAGCCTGATGGAATTGTGCCCAAAATCAATTCAAGATTCCTCTTCAAAGTCAGTTTCTAGTGAGCAACAAAACCTTGTTGAGTTTGCAACTCATGGAGCTGAGATCTCTGCAAAGCTATCTTCTACCGATAAAGAATTTCTCGCTAAATGTGGGGCTCAAAATGGTGTTGCTGATAATGGTTGCCATCATAAGGCGAATAGCCAGCATGATATTGTCAACGTTGCAAATGGTACCCTAACAGAAGGAAATGTTTCAGGGGAGCCCGCCCATGTTTCTCCAGCAAGGACGACTTCTAATGAGCATCAGAATGCTGTTAATGCTGCAGTTTGTGATGACTGAAAGAGGTTCAAAACTTCCTAATTCTCTCAATCCATGTACATAGTATTGTTGAACCTGACTAACTATTTTTTCCCCGATTCAGCCAATGAGTTCTTTTACTAATTTTCTTCATTGTTGAGCCCTTCTATGATTAAGAGAGTCACCTTTTTGACTGCTTAGGCTACTTACAGATTGATCCTGTGCTTCTGTACTACTGAACTTTGTTCCAGTTGTGAAAAAAGTGGATGATAGAAAATATGCAAGAGAATGAAATGGGTAGGAGTGAAACAAAAAATGAATTTGTGATTGTATACTTGATGTTGATATTAGGGGGCAAAGGTGCAGTAATATACGATATATGTTCATTTATTCTTCGCGAAAATTTTCTGCCCGTTTCTTGAATAATTGTTGTGCCTTTGGCAGCTTACCTCCTGAACTATTCTTCAAAAATTTGTGGGGATTTTGTTTGGCTTGTTTTCTACTGCGATTGCAGCATTTGGCAAACGGAAGCAGATCTCGATGAACTTACAATGTGAGTGATCCGAATGGTCTTCTGGTTTCATCAATTCTCAAGTGCAGTTTATATTTATATTTATGTTCTTGATAGTTTTATTTATCAAAAAAAAATTATATTTATGTTCTTGATAGAAGGCATCTTTTTTTTCATCTTTATAATGCTTGTAAGTTGTAAGAGAGTTACACATATATTTTTTCTTTAACTAATATATATAATTCATATTTATACCAATGTAGATTAAAGATCAACTCATTCTTCTATATATATATGACTTGTTCTAGATTTAGCTGATACTCGTTTATTTCTCAATTTATGTCTTTAGGCTGTTACCTAATAGAGATTAGGTATTAATAGTTTCTGTACTCTTACTATTCTCTCTAAACTTATATAGGCTTATTATATTTCCAATAATTAGACAAAGTTTGAAAACTGGCCAAAACACCAGGAACAAACATATAGAGATTCATGATGAACTCATGAACACACACACACACAAATAGAATTTCAATATCGAATGCAAAAGAAAAGACAATTTTATGTACATCACTAAAGGAGTTTTCTATACAAACCTTAGAGGAAAACTTGCAGTTTAGATTGCATTGACCATAATAATAAAATATATATAAAAAAAGAAAAGGATTGTATCCATTGCATGCTCAACTTAGAGAAATGAAAAAGGCATTTCTCTCGCTTCATTGCAAGTATTACTATCCTTTTATACCCTTTATTTGATCTCCCCCACCCACCAACTAAAGATGGATCCCTTTTTCACTTCCTCGGCGAGAAGGGAAAGGAAAGCGGTCAGAGGTTCGGTTTTTCACTTCCTCGGCGAGAAGGGAAAGGAAAATGGTCGGAGGTTCCGTTTTTCACTTCCTCGGCGAGAAGGGAAAGGAAAGCGGTCGGAGGTTTGAAGGCCACCTTGGAAAATAAAAATCATACTCCTAGACTCTCAAGTCACTGCCTTGGTTGACACTATTGTCTCCACCCTTACCTTGAAACTTGATATATTTATACCACTTGGCACACACAATGTAGACCATCAAATCTGCAGTTGTCAAAGCTGCTAACAAGAAATAAAAGTTGTCCAAATGACCCTTGTTAAGATTTCCAGGGATCCATCCTGGCATTTTATCTTTAGTTGAGATTTTCATGACAATGGTCACTAGCAAACTACTGACATAGTTTCCTAGTGATATGGATGTCATGCAAAGTGCACTCCCAAAGCTCTTCAATCCATCTGGTGTCTGCCCATTAAAGAACTCCAGTTGACCTACATACATGAACACCTCTGATGCTCCTACCAGTACATATTGTGGGATTTGCCAAAAGATGCTCAGCGAGCTCGAGTTTTCGCAGTTTCTGCAATCTTTCTGTGCAGTCTTTAACCTGAAATGCTCTACAGTCCCAGCTGCAACCATTGCCATTATAGCTATGACTAGTCCGATTCCCATTCTTTGAAGCTCGGTGAGTCCTTTCTTTCTCAGCCTGGCTACAAGGGGGTCGAGAATCCGCCTGTAAATGAAAATGAATGCTGCAACGCTGAGGATATCGAAGCTAGACATGCTTGCCGGAGGGATGTGGAATGTTGAGATGGTGGTTTTCATTGCGGCGCCTTGTTCCACGAAGAGGGAGGCCATTTGAGTGAAGACTACTGAGTAAAGTATTGTGCATAGCCAAATTGGGAGAAGTCTTAGTATGCATTTCACTTCTTCCACTTGTGTCACAGGACAGACATGCCAAGGACTATGAACTCTGCCCTCTGAGGTGCACTCCTTTGATGTGATAATCGCCGCCCTATCCAAGAATCTGGTAAGAGAGATATAAATTTCGGTTAGCATTTGCCCCAATTATGTTATATAATTTAATGGTGAATGGAAAAATTGTACTTCCTAGTGACAACGAGTAAGACTTAGAACCAATGTGCATGCCAAATATAATCAATTTAAGTTAGGTGGTTCCATTGTGACCTGTAAGTCACGGATTCGAAATTGAAAGTCGTCTTTCTATGCGCAAGTAAGACTGTGTACGTCTGACCCTCCTAAGACTCTGCAATGGTGGGACCCTTGTGCATTGAGCTAGTTTTTGTTTTTGTTTTTGTTTTTGTTTTTTTCCTTCAAAATCAATGCAAGTTGGGTTTTAAGGGCTGAACTTACTTGAATCCTTGGGTATGAAGTATTTGTCTGCCCCCATTATAAGAAAATGCCTTTCCATCCACTTCATGTAGCTCCTCTGCATTAGATGGAATCTCAGCCTTCCATTTTCTGGCTGCAGCAACCACCACTTGGCAAAATCTGGAGAGAGGGTTTCCTTTAGGTATGAAGTGCCTGTACCTAGGGGTCCCTACAAGAAACAAGACCAGGGCCACAACGGCAGAGCCAGTAGATGCCCAAAAACCCAGTGTCCACATTCCTTCATCCTCAAAGTAGCCCAATATGGTGTTTGAAAAGAGTGAACCAAGGTTTAAGGCCAAATAGAAGTAGCTAAAGAAGGCCACCTTTGAGTGCCCTTCCTTAGGGTCATCCTCATCAAACTGATCTGCCCCAAATGTAGCAATATTAGGTTGGTACCCCCCATTCCCAAGGGCAATCAAGTAAATTGACAAGTAGAACAACGTGACGTGGACGCTCGAGTGGGACCCACATGGAGTTTGTTCATCACCACAGCCACTAGGCTTGACTAAAAAAATGTACGATGACAATGACAGTGATACCAAGCCCTGCCACGAAAAAAAAAAAAAAAATCATTTTAAGTATCAAAACACTCAAAAGAATGAAATAATGAAAAAATTGAAGCCGGTCATAATCAATGACACGTGTGAGATTGTCACGTGTGATTAATTCTGACCGTCTATTATAATATCCGAACTCAAATAATGCATGTCAATTCAGAATTATTGTGGGGGTAGCTTACAACGACAAAGATGGCCTGAAAGATGGCACAGGTCTTGTACCGTCCCCAGTAGGAGTCGCTGAGGAAAGCGCCGAGGAGAGAGAAGATGTAGACGGTGCCGGTCCATTTGCTAACGTTGTTAGCTGCAGCGGCATTATCTTGGCCCATCACTCTAGTCAGAAACAACACCAAGTTGACACCCACCCCAAAAAATGCCAGTGTAGCAAGTCCTTGGTTCACTGTTTTATTTGTCAATCAATCAATACAAATTATTAAATTAAGACAAAGTGATTAACTTATAATATTTGGTAGTTAGACATAATAGCAGAGGTTAGGAAGGAAAAATAAAAAGAAATGCATGAAGTACAATGATAATTAAAGAGCAATCATATGTGCTTTTGAATTAGGAGTGTTATAAAATATAAACAAGAACTAATAGTACTATGATAAGAGTGTGAAAATTTTAGGCATAATAAATTATTATCATATTAAATACCCAGGAAATCTAACTATTGATTTTGGTGGAAATAATTGTACGACTTTTCTGAAAAATATGAATAAAAATATGCAAGTAAAGGTTTTACTATAATTTTGGAAATAATTGTAGGGCAAATTGCATAAGACCCCTTTTAGTTTCAATTTTTGGCAGAAAACTTCCTTTAAAAAAAGTTGTCATAAAACCCCCCTAAGGGTTTTGGTGGTTGCAATATTGTCCCCTTAGTCAGAAAAACCCTTTTTTGGGACGAAATTGCCCCTCCCAACCATTTTAATTTTTTCAAAGTAATTTTCCAAATATGCTTTAGATTATAAATGTGATTATGTGAAAGCTTCAAAGAACCTTTAATTCCTGAGAACAAACCTTTGGGGGCTAAAAAAAAAAAAAAAAAAAAAAAAAAAAAAAAAAAAAAAGTGATATTGTTTCAATTATTAAGGAAAAAAAAAAAAAAAACATTCAAATGCATTTATGTACTAGCTAAATGCATTTGAAGGTTGTTTTATTTTTATTATTATTTTTTAAAAATTTAAAGTGACATTGTTTCAATTTAAGGGGGGGGGGGGGGGGTGTTTGTGTGGGGCATTTGTAAGTTTTTTTTTCTATATATATATATATATATATATATATATATATATATATATATATGTATATAGTTTAAAGTGACCTTGTTTCAATTATTAAGAAAAATATATATATATAAAATTAAAAAAACTTCAAATGGTCGAGAGGGGCAATTTCGTCCCAAAAAAGGATTTTTATGACTGAGGGGCAGTATTGCCACAAGTAAAATTCCTAGGGGGAGTGTTTTATGGTAACTTTTTTTGTAAGGGGATTTTTGGATTAGGATTCTCTCAATTTGCACAGTAGTCAATTTCCTCCATTTTTGTAAGTAAAAGTGCATTCCAACATTTTGGTAAAATGTATCCTAATATTTTTCTAAAATGCATCTCAAACATGACTGACGTGGCCATTTCTGGACCACTTATTTCAAAATGGAGCAAATGGTACAACATTTCACCGGAGGTGATTTTCCACCGGGATTTTCTTCCAAAAATTGAAACTATGCAATTTGCCCAAAAACGTACTACTTTTCAAGGTTTTTCTTTTTCGCATGCCAATAAACAACTCACATCCATGTCCCCAGTCTACTTTTGAAGGTAAGAAAGTATCACTAAACTACACTTATAGTCGACATGGTGAACTAAAGGAAGAAATATGAGGAAGACGACAATAATGAAAATATTTTGACCAAGGATAGAGGATGAAAACATTTATAAGCTAGCTCTATAATAGAGCACATGCAAAGTACGTATTTAGGCCTGTATAAACATAAGATTTTTGAATCTGTCTTATGAAACAATTATCAGGAGAGATAAGCTTTCAGGATTTTCTGAATTGTTTATACGTACATGTTCCAATAAATGAGGAAGAACATATAAACTAAGAAAGTAGATCGAATACAATCAACTAGTGTTATTATATGAAGTTTAAAAATATTGACTCACTTGTGAAAAACACAAAAAAAAAAAAAAAAAAGTTCAAAAATATTGAATGTTAATGAAAAATAAATAGCAGCAAGCTAGACTTACCAAGTATGAGAATTGCAGCGATCCATGTACCAGTTCTTCGTCGCACTGCTGGGTGACCACGATGATCAACAGTTCCATCAAGGGTGCAATTTTCTTGTTGCTTTACTATATTTTCCTCAATGTCATCCTGATATTTTTATGGAAGATGTAATTAATTAGTGATACTTCTCTCTGTATATATATATATATATATATATCGTAATTAAATCATGATATAGCATTTAAATATAGCTTCTTTCAATCATGAAAATCTGTTTTTATTATTATTATTTTTTTTTGTTCGAATGATAAAGCAAACAAACACACATGAAAATCTGCTGATTTCATATAAATTTAACACTATCCAAATATTATTTGCTATTATAAACATGAAAATTTCAAAATATATATAATTAAATTTTTGGCTGTTCCTTCAAAATTTAGTATGTTACTAAAATGTGATACTCTGATTATTTCAATATTGGAAGGAATTAATATATTCAAAATTAATTTAATCTAATAATTATGATGCATGAACGACGATAACCATTCTTATAAATTACCTTGTTTCATTTATACACATGAAATGCACTAGTTATCATTCTGAAAAACTTAACCAGTTATCAAAGCAATTAAGTGACCATATATATACATAGATATATAGCCTAACAAAATTATCAGATCAAAATATAAATCGGAAGCTAAGAAAGAAAAAGAGAGGGTGACCACACACACACACACACACACACACACATGTTAGCTTATGAGGGGGAGAAGGAAACTACTAACCGCTTTAACAATATTTAAGCAAGCCATTGGTGTTCTCTTACTCGAACAAGAACTATCAAAATGCAGAGAGAGAGAAGAAATATGTTGGAGCTAGATAGAGAAGGGAGTGAGAGATAAAAGGGATGCAATGATGTGTATATACTTATTAGTGTAACACTGGTAGCAGAGTTATATATATATATAGATAGATAGTTATAGATAAAATAAAAGTGATAATTAATGAGGCTGCTTTCAAAGTTGAAGTTGGTGCATGGTCATGAGGAAAAACACAAAATGATGACAAGGAAATGTGTTGGATTCAACATGTTTGGGAGAAGCAAGAGAAACGTGACATGGTTGGATTCCGCGCGAGATCAATCACTAAATATATATGTCTTGCTCCTTCCACTTAGTTGTGATTAGCCAGCTGTTTTGATCCCGACATTTTTATTTTTTTTTAAAAAAAATTATTTATATATATTATTATTATTATGCACTTTAGATCATAAATTATATGACCTCCTTCATCACCTTTTCATATATTCTGGTTTCTTAATACTAATTAGTGGAAGGCAAAAATATAAAAACTTTTTTTTAGAGCTCTTTACAAAATTCAAACCTAATTGCTCCAAAGGACATGGTATGCAGTTGATTTATCTGAAAAATAGAAATAAATAAATAAACAACACAGGGTGGTACAATGGAATAATGAATTATGCTTACGAACCCTTAGATCAATTAGTTATTCAATTAGTAGGATATTCTAAGAGACTCGACACCACCACTATCATCATCGTAAGCAAAACTTAAACCTTTTAAAAAATTTATAATTATATATCTATACATTCAGGGGCGGAGCCAGGATTTTAGTTCAGAGGGGGCACAATGCACTTGTTGGGAAATTTTTTTTTTTAATAAATATGACAAATAGGAATTATAATTTTTTTAAATCAAAAAGGCAAATAAGAAAAAAATAGTTGTAAAATAATATGCTAAATAAATACTGTAAAAAAAATATAGTTACAAATATAAGAATCAAAATATTAATTAATAATATTTTAATTAAATACAATCACAAATGTCATTGATGAAAAAAAATAAATTAAAAAAAATAGAAAACTACATAATTATACACAAGTAAAAAAAGAATTTTTTTGAAAAAGGAAACAAAAATTAGAAAAGGAAAAATATATTGTATACTTGAAGAAAGGATATATATATATATAATTTCTACTTCTTTTTCAAAAGGAAATTAGAAGAATTTGAAATTTTAAGGGAGGGCACTATTTAAAATTACCATAAAAATATATGTATATATCAAAAATATGTACCTATGTATAGTAGATTGGAGCAAAGTGAAGGGGGCACGTACCCCTCTTGACCTTAATTGGCTCCGTCCTTGCAACATTTATGTGTTTATATGTAATATTTCTTTGTTGATATATTATATCAACAAGCAAAGAAGGTTTGGGGGTAATTTTGACTATGGATCCCACAATACGGCACCCATATACTGCAGCCTTTCATGGCCGAAATGCAGCTTATTGGAGTAGTCGTAAAGCAATTTCTTCTTTCCAATTAATTAATTAATATGTCTAAAGCTCATTCATTTACAAAGAGCCATAAATATTTTAGGTCATGAACCAGCTGTCTCCAACAATTAAGCTTGTGAAAGTGGGAGAGAAACTAAAATAAAAGTACTAAAAAAAAAAAAAGTTAGCTCACTAGCTTTTTTAAGTGCATAATCACTAGCTTTATTTATTTATTTTGAAGATCGACTTGTAAACAAAGATTGTATTAAAAATGATGATTTCCAGATAAAAAAAAAAAAAAAAAAAAAATCGAATATAATTCATTAATAATTAGATTTAACTCAAACACATACAGTAGATGAAAATTTCGTCTACATCTAAACCTATGATCTATATAGAGTTTGAGTGTTTTCAAGATATGTGGGAGTTGTTTGCCAGATCAGCAAACTATCAAAATTTGAATTATTTTGGATTGTATCAATTGAATATATCCCCGTGTACCCCTAATTAATTTTCAAGTTTAGGTCCTCACCACTTGCTTCGTATCAATGTCAAATATTAATATAAACTATGATCTCACAAGTTATAAGTTTGACCAATGCATTAGATGATGGATCTTATTATATAAGTTTCTTAATTTCTGTATTCCATAATCAAGTGGGAGTCTTTCCATCTTAGGTTACTATCTTTATCACGTCAAGTAAGAACAGTTTTATAGACTTGCCCAAATTAATTAAGATAAGGAAGGGTTTAATGTATTGATTAGAATTCTCTTTGTTGTTTGTTAATCTGTTAGTTCATGACCTTTTTATGAAACAATTCCCTTCATATATAGTCATTCTTTTATTTATTTATTATTATTTTTATCCAGTAGGTATTACCAATGGACTTAGCTAATCAATCTCAATTATTAATCAATAATGTGAAGTATTAATTATATTTTTAATGGCGTAGGAACTATAACAATTATTCGGATATGTGCAATAATTGGTAAGCCACATTTATTGGTTAAGTCCGAATTTGCTACTTCGGATAAATGTCTAGATTTGGAGCTCCTGTGTCCAGCTCATGCACCAATGGAACTGGCCCGGACTAATGTGAAGTACTCTTGAAATAATAATAATAATAATAAATAAATAAATAAATAAATAAATAATAAAATGAAAATTGTTTGTGAGCAAATCAATGGGTCAAAATATATAAGTAATTAATCGTTTAACATAGAATCCTCGAATCATGAAAACAAAATTAATATCCTAAATTGTGATGTATTTTAACTTACACGTCAAGCAATTTTGTATAAATTAAAAATTGCAAATCTTTCTACAACATAAGTAACATTCTCAATTTGACCACTTGCCATTTCCATTTTTACAACTTCAACCAAATAATAATTAGCTTTTCCAGAAAATTTCCAATTACACTAAATTTCAACTTAAAGCAATAATCACAATCCTTACCTCTACCGTTGTCACATAAATTTCAAATATAATGAACACATTAGTATTCTTTTTTCAACTTCCATAATAATAATTATGGTTAGAAAAAATGCCTTTTTGAAATGGTGAACCAAATAAAATGTCAAAAATTCTCAGATTACTATGTCGTTTTAGGCTCACTATCAGTGAGCTATCTCTCTACTCTTAAGAATAACTATCCACTCTTCTACACCGAATCAAATGTTAAGTGAATGAAAGAATCTGGTGAAGCAATTGCCTCGATAACCCATCGGAAATTTTCAATTACACTACTGTTGTCGGGATAAATTTCAACTTAAAGCAATAATCAAAATCCTTACCTCTACTGTTGTCACATAAATTTCAAATATAATGAACACATTAGTATTTTTTTTTCAACTTCCATTATGATAATTATGATTAGAAAAAATGTCTTTTTGAAACGATGAACGAATTAAAAGATAAAAAATTCTCAGATACATTTAAGCGAGACCACTTACGTACTATCGTTTTAGGTTCACTATATCAGTGAGCCTATCACTACTAACTATCTACTATTCTATACTGAATCAAATGTTAGGTAAATGAAAGAATTTAGTAGCATGGTTATCTCCATAATCTAATAAATTAGTGCCTTTCCTATATTTTAAAGTATCAAACTTCGAACCTTTTACATTTAGTATTAATCTAACACTTCTTACCTAAAAAAACAAAAAAAAACATATTC